ACTGACTAAAAACCACCCCGTGCCTTCCCTGCACGTCGAGTCGGAGCCCCAGTTACCCGTTAGGTTCTCCGCGACGCCCTCACGAACACTTGACGCCTTGGTCTCCTTTTTCATACTATTCGGGACGTGAGCTGGGTTTAGACCGTCTGTCGTGAGACAGTATACATATACATATCATAATGGAACATTAGGCAGGCAGAATGTTTGTGTGCACTACTCGACTCGTATGTGATATGATGTAGTACTTTGGCAGAAACTTTCATATCTGTCTATGGAGTTGTCTCATGTGCGCCTTAGCTTTGGGGAAACTCTAAAGTATTATCGCACATGTTTTCGATGAGGTCTAAAGAAATTCGACCCGACCCGTTGACAGATTTTCCTTCGAACCTGTGCTAAGCTCGTCTACTGATTTTTGGTTGTGTGCTTAATTATAGTATAGAATATTCAATACTGCTTATTTTTTGCGTGTACTTAGGTACAGATGCGTGGAGCTATAATAGTAGGTACCTTTTACAACCGACTTCAAAAAATAGAGGAGGTTCTCAATTCGACTGTATTTTTTATTTGTTAGGTACTCAATTTAGTCGAAGACGCCTAGATTTTTGTACCACTGTCATCAAGTCAGGATCTGATGATGGAATCCCAGGGGAACCTTCACAGTGTGGAAGAGCCATACTTCGGCACGAATGGGCCGGCTCAAACGGAGTGATACCACGGCCTCACAGAAAATCGACGTGAAGCAACGCTTGCGTTGTGTTTTGTCGTGTGAGTGAGGTTACCGGAGGCCCAATTACCCTCCCCTTCCCCAATCTCCGAATCCTCAAACTTCTAATCCCCAAAAGGCCGGTAACGCACTTGTAACGCCTCTGGTGTTCCAGGTGACCATGGGCGACACCGATTGCTTACCATCAGGCGATCCGTCTGCTCGTTTACCGGCTTACGCCATAAAAAAAACCGAGAGGAACTTTTAATAATTATAGGGGCGACTAGTGCATTTGTTATTTTTTCATTCAGTATTTACATCTACTACAATCTGATAAAGGTCTGGAGTCGATCTGATGATGGAGCCGAGAGCCAGTCGCAGTAACTCCTCAACTGTAAACAGTAGCTACACTGTGTTTGGGTTTGATTAATATGTATGTATTGATGAGGACTTTATAACTAGGTGGGGTGTGATTGACAATAAGGGTCTGGTGATGGAAGTAGGTAGTACGATAGTTGAGGGAACTCCTTAACGGTTAACAGTAGCTTGCACCTTGTGTATGGATTTGATAATTTCTATTGATGAGGACTTTACACCTAGGTGGGGTGTGATTGTCATTAAAGGTCCAGTGACGATACGAAATAGTAGTGTGATAGCTACGAAAACTCCTCAATTGTTAACAGTAGCTACCTGTGTTTGAACTTGAATAATTGCATTGATGAAAACTTTGCACCTATGTGGGTTGTACATAATGTAATATATACTAAGTAGTACCTACTAAACTAAAAAGTATAAAATAAAAATAAAAACGGCGTTCAAAAACTGAAAACAAACGAAAAGTAAAAAATAACTGTTATTGGTCATACGTACTTATACCTTACATACTCACTGATAGGTGAGAAGTCGGTGCCACAAACCCATAACAAAATATAAGGCAATGGTCTGGTCATAGGTAAGTATAATCCATAATAAAATTGTAAACAGCTTAATAATGTTACGTATCTATTAAGCTTTTAGGAGCTAGGTAGGAGAGCCTAGTATCCTAGAGGAGGTTTCTTCAAATCTTCCAGTAGTAGTAAAACTCCGATGAGAGGTGTTGACAAGAATGAATTATTTCGCCAAACTACGCTACTTATATTTCTACTAGCTTTTACCCGCGTCACAAAAAGATAAAAAGTAGCCTATGTGATGTGACATATACCATTACACACAGCGCCATCTATACCAATAATTTCGTTTTCCCTCGAGAATACCAAATTTTCCGGGATAAAATGTACCCTTTTATTTAATCCAGACTTCTAACTTTACGTCTGCAATAATTCAAACCAATCGGTTCAGTTGTTATGGCGTGAAAGCGGAACAAACAAACAAACTCACTTTCCGATTTATAATATTGGTAAGGAAGTAAGAATTTACATATTCGAGTGCAGACTACAGATGAAGAATAAAGATACGACGGGTGCAGGTGCTCCGGTTTCGGCTCCGCTTGCGCTGCTTGAATGCTGGCTTAACCCAACCGCTTCTTTCGAAGCGATTGATGATTAATGTTTCTGTGAGAGTGTCGAAACGTAAACTGTGTCTTTTTCAAGACAATTGGTTTCTTGTTTCTAAAAACGGAGTCAGTCTATAACGTGGTAAAGGTATTGTGGAAGGTATATGGTAAGGTATTCGGTGGTATTGGTAACTGGTAGGTATGTAGTCGTGCGGTGCGGCTACAAGCTTTAAATTTTAATGAATAGGTAATTTTGTTTAGAACTTTGGCTACGCCCATGAGGCAAAAAAGGTGTTGGTAGTTTTTTTGTGAGAACGGTCGTCTAATGACACCAATCTCTCAAGTTTTATCATTTGATTATCGGCTTAATTTTCAAAATAATAAAGTTGAAGTTTGATAGAAAGGAGTGTAGGTTAGTTGACATGCTGGCCATTGTACTAGCCAGTCTATTTCATTCATGAACAAGGAACAAAAAAGATGGATAGGTAGACTAAATCTTTTATATAGGTATATAATTCTCCTGTGAGTGTGTATGTCACTGAACTTCTCTCAAACGACTGGACCGATTTTGATGAAATTTTTTGTGTGTGTTCAAGGGGATCTGGGAATGGTTTAAATTCACAAATCAGCCCGGCAGATGGCGCTGCAGTCAATGTTTAGGTTATTTATCATAAACAGCTGAACTAATTTGAATGAATTTTTGTTTATACATTCAAGTGGATATGCAGGACAACGTCTGTGATAATAAACTTGCAAATGTATCGAAAATATTGTGTTAATATTGAGAAAGTACTAAGACAGCATAATTAAAAAGAGGTATCATCAGACTGTACAGACAATATAAAAATACCAAAAAAAAAAGTACTAAACTAGCAACCCGGCCCGACTGCGGTCGGGTCCTTGCCGTTCTCGGCGTAACTGTCAACAAATAAAAAAAACTTCTTTGTCCATAACGAACTTGCAATGTTGTCACAATCTCGTGTTAATTTTAATAAAATTACTAGCACTGCATAATTGAAAAGAGGCTTGAGTAGTAGACATAATAATTATAAAAACACCAAATAATGAAATAGCTGGCCTTAGCCGTCCCAACACTGTTCCGCACCTTTTCTTTGTAATTTCTCAATATCTTCTGCCCATTCATACCAAAGTAGACATAAAAGAAACAAAAACCACTTGAAAAATAGAAAAAAATACAAATATTTAGCACTATATAGCTGACCCGGCAAACGTCGTACCTACTATTTCCCACCCTATAAGGTGGGAAATAGTAGGTACGACGTTTCCGCCTTCCCTGGATTTCCACGAACATTTCAAGACCAAAATTAGATATATTGGTTCAGCTGCTCTCGAGTTTTAGCGATTCTAATGAACTGATATTCATTTTCATTTACATAGATAGAAAGAATAAAACCGATGAGCATGCATGAAAAGATTAACGACTGTTGATGAAGCGAAAGAGGTATGTAGGAATCGTAGCTATTGGCGTTCATAGTCTCTGCCTACCTCCATGGGAGACAGGCGTGAAGTTATGAGAATGCATAATATCGAAAGAAAGTTAACATTGCAACAATGAGAAATTTTCTTTAGCCAATTAATTTATGATATTGCAACAGAAATGTACCAGGATCGCATAATATGGCAAGAAGTTTACTATAGTAAACAGAAAGAAGCCCTTTTATTTACACCATGGACGTATATACGTCCATGATTTACACACTTATAGTCAATAGGCGCTATTGTATTGTTATTCACCAGATGGGGCTAGTGTGGCTTCTTGTCCTTCGTCCAATAGGGAATCAGCGAGTGGCACACCATTGGCCGTTCAATTTTTGACAGCTACAGTGATTGGCCAAAGACTTCTTGCTAGATTTGCAAAAAGAAAACGATAGCTATTGTCAAATCTCTTCGCCACATCCCGCAACGTGCTATATAAAGCGCTACAGCCAGTGCAGCGAACATTTATTCGTGAGACCTGGTTGGCCCGACCGACCCATCGGACGGCGCGTGAGTCTCCCGCCCGCCCGCTCTACGTGGGTTGGTTGAGACTCCGCCCCACCGGACTCGACCATGCGCCGCTAACAGCTTGCTTCTCGCGTGGACTGCCCTGGATCTCGTTTCGTCACGCCCTCAGTCAGGGACGTTGAGAAGACCGTCGTCGCGAACATTTTGGCCGCGACCGCATCACAAATAAGTCCTGTTGCTTACTACTTGTATCTTCTACTCTGACACACTCCTTGAGTATTTTGCAATAATAATCTAATATCTACTTAAACTCTCGCCACGTTCGATTGCCAGATTTTATTGAGGTAAAGTAAAGTTTGCGAATGTTTATCCCATTATTTTCTTTTAATAATTAACACAAATCCCATTTTATTTTAATTTTTTAACAAATAATTATGATTCGAACCAATTACCTAACGTAAATCTAACACCCAAATGAGTAGGTAAATAGTTGTTAGTAATGAAATTAAAACAAAAAATACGAGAATCAAAATATTTATTGATTGTTTGGTTGGTTAATCACTTTTAAACCTATTGAGCGCCACGATCGGCTACAGACGACGAACAAAATAAATAAAAACGAGCTTCTATGAAGCCAAGCATTTATAATAATACAAAATAAACGTGAATACAAAAATTCAGCACAATCTGTTGAAGATATCTACTTCAAACCTCAGTTGTAAGAATCCACTTCACACACATACATTGAAAGTAAAATGGGTATACCTACGTAATACTACATATATACTACATTTAGTATACTACATTTTGTGTCTATAGACGACCGTGGCGGTCAAGGACTTAGACCAGACTAAATTCGATCTTATCAACACCAGCATACAGCGCCATGTTGGAATCACATATAAAATCAATGGACGAATCGTCCATTTTAACAACAAATATGATCATATCATCTTTACTTCTCTTGCACTCAACTTCCCAATATTTAGTAGAAAGTCCTTCATTGTACAATTCTAACATTTTAAACAAAACATCACTAGAAAAATCGTAAAAAGATCTTAATGTTAATAACATTTTTGTGTGTGTTTTAGTGAATATTTTTAAGTCTCCAATGGAGTGAATGATTCTCTCGAGCCATTCAAATGACTCTTGGTTTTGACAAGAATAAATAAAGGAGTCATCTTGATAACCATAACATTTTAGCAACGGTAACTGAGTACCTTTAATTACATTTTCAGATATAACTCTCTGAATTTCTTTAGCTTTTTCTAAATCAATTTTCTCTATCGGATCATTGACATGTAATATGTACGCCACTTTCATTCCACTTCTCAATTTGACTGTCTCTTCCAAACTGTTCGCGTTTTTATCACAAATATTTTCGCTTAAATCTAAATTAACTTTAGGCATATCACAGTCTGTCTTCAAAATATCATTTGATTCGGCACCATTAACTATCGGTCCAAATCGAAAATTTTTGATTACATTTATTTCATTCTCTTTGCTTACATTCGTGGAATGATTATTCACAGACACATTTTGGTCACCCAGACCAACAGTTGTATCTTTTTCAGTATTAGTCTTAATAGTAGCTTCATCATTTCCGTTATTAGTATCTTTTACTTCACTTTTATCAACATCAATAACTGTTTCTTGATAATCAACACATACGACGTATTCCACTGACGTATCACAATTTTCATTTACATAATTCGTACGATTCACTGGTTTTTTACCACTTAGATCAAAATTACCCTTTTTATCATCAATTTTACCCTCATAATCAGTCTCTTTACCTTCCATTATACTGACAATCTTTTCAGCTATCGACGTGTTCTCTTTTTCGTTAGATTTGTTGTACATTTTAGCGTATTCTTTGAGGTTTACCCGTTGTCGGCCTGGAGGCGTAGTGAGTTTAGGTAAATTGATATCTTCGCTCAAACTGCTTGCGTCATCATCAGTGATATCCGCTTCAGTGATGATAGGTCTGCTTGGTTTTCTATAAGGCGGGCTACTGGAACTATCACTTGTGCTATCCAATGATATTATAGTTTGGGATTTTTCTTTAGTTTTATTACGGTTTGGCGCAATATTGTGGTAGTATTTTGAGAACGTTAGTGACCTGTAAAGATAAAGGGTTTTAAGTGTTATCTTAGAAAACATGTAGTTGCCGTTAGTGGGTTTCGAACCCGTTGTCTCATGCATGAGAAGTGGGCGTCTTAACCTCTTGTATCTTGTATATAAGGCACAATAGAAAGGACATTCGTGTCTCGCGTATATCTGCGTTCCAGGGCCTTTAGCCAAACGCCACTTTAGCGCTTGTCTACAGAGAGAGTAGAAATCAAAATGAGGATGACACTGACAAGTGTCAAAATTCCATATAATTCAATTCCATATAATTTGGTTTTCTATTGTACATGTAGACAAGCGCTAATTGGCATTTTGGCTACAGCTGCAGTATACCACGGGTAAACCCGGGCCACCACGATAACTGTTGCGTATGTTGGGAATATGTAATATTAATACTTGATGTTATTTTAGGGTCATTGAGATATCCTGAGATGGACCCCAATATTATTTCAAATCAATATTATCGTAGACAGTATTTGTTTGCGCAAGAAAATATAAACATAATACGTGCCTAATATTTTAAAATAATCCTTACTAATATTATAATTATATTATTATATAATATTATAAATCGGAAAGTGAGTTTGTTTGTTTGTTCCGATTTCACGCCGTAACTACTAAACCGATTGCTTTGAATTTTTGCAGACGTAAAGTTAGAAGTCTGGATTAAATAATAGAGTACTTTTTATCCCGGGAAAATTTGATATTCCCGAGGGAAAACAAAAGTATTGGTATAGATGGCGCTGTATATATTGGTATATGTCACATAGGCTATTTTTTATCCTTTTGTGACGCGAGCGAAGCCGCGGGTAAAAGCTAGTATACTATAAATAATATGACTGCACGGTTGGTGCGGTGGCTGGGCAACTGGCTGCCGCGCAACGTGTTCGATTCCCGCACGGAACAACTATTGCATGATCTACATATTGTTCCAGGTCTGGGTGTCATGCGTATGTGAACTTGTATGTTTGTAAACGCATCCACACCCGCCCGCATAGGACAAAATCGTTGAGCGGGGCAACGGTTTAAAAAAATATATGTATATACTTTTTTTTTTTAAGGGGGGAAAATCATCGAATGACTGCTCCCGCCTGGGTGAGGCGGAAGGGAGTGTCAGACTCTTACTGACTTAAAACCACCCCGTTCCTTCTCCTGCACGTCGAGCCGGAGCCCCGGTTACCCGTTAGGTTCTCCGGGACATATGTATATACTAGGCGAACATTGAAATAAAAATGAGTCATCTACCCTTATAACTTAACAAAAGCTTTTCAAACTTACCTATACGAATGATCGAACATAACTCCAACATACAACATATTATTGTCCTTCAATTTATTCAAGATTTCATTAAAAATCCTAACTTCAGCCGGACAGCTGCCATTTTTTACTCTCAGATTGATACTTTCAACGGCGCGCTCTATAAAAGTAACTTGTTTCCTATTTAAAACCTTTCTAAAGTCAATTTCTAGTTCTTCATTTTCAGATGTCACAAAGTCTTTAAGACTTATCAATGTAGATAATTTTAATTTTAACATGTAAAATTCCCTTTGCGTTGCAAATATTGGTAACAATGTGTGTATGTATGTGTTTATATTCTCTTCATTCGTTAGCTGGTTTATTGGTAGTAATTTTAGTGGTACTGGCCGTAGACTTAGCTCTCTGTAATGGAAAAAATATTTATTAGTACCTTTATTATGCATGAAAAGATTATTTGTAGAGGTAGAAAAAACCAATATATTTGTATTGAGAATAAAAAAATATTTAATAGACTTTTATACTCTTAAAATGATTGGTTGGTTCACTTGAGCCGGCCAATCAGAGGCCTTAGTACGAGTTTGTTTTACGTTTAAAGTAATCGTAACGAGTACGCGTTCGGCGCTGTGATTGGTTGATTCATTGGCGCCGGCCAATCAGTTCGCCGAACGCGTTCTCGTTTCGAATACTTTAAACGTAAAACAAACTCGTACTAAGGCCTCAGAGCGCCGAACGCGCTCGATACTATTACGTTACGAATGCGATAGTTATTCGTGCTTGGTACTCAGATCAGAAAGATATATAAAGATACTTACTTCTTACTATCTGACAATATAGCTTTAACCACAATAGTAGGCCTTTCGCGATATTCGTCCAAAATCTTCTTCACAATACTTCTTTCTTCTGGAAAGAAGTACCTAGGTTTATCAAGATTTAAATATTCCAAAGCATGTCTAACGAAATTCTTCTCTTTAGTTATGAAATTTTTGAAATATTGTAACGTCTTCATTTGTAAGTTTTTCGTGAATATATCTAGCATCGCTTGTAAAAAGTCGCTCCTTATGTTCCGTGGTGACGTTAGCACCTTTCTAGAAGTTAGAGATTCGGTCAAAGGTGATTTTTCTTTATTTTGATCATCTGTGGTTTGTAAACTGGAGTTGTATGTGATTGTTTTCCTAGTGGTTGCGTTTTGTCGCTGGTCTTTTGGAGGCTGGAGCTTATTTTGCGGTGATTTTGAGGTTTGGGGCTCATTTTGCGGTGTTTTTGAGACTTTGGGCTCTTTTGGAGGCGTTTTTATAGTCGCAGACTTTTGCAGTGATTTTGAGCATTGGGGATGATCCTTCGATGGTGTAAATATCTGGGGATTACTTTCCGGTTTTGTAGAGGTTTGTGGGTCATTTGTCAGCGGTTTTAAGTTCTGTGGCTCAATGGCTGGAGTTTTTGAAGTTAGGGGTTTATTTTGAGGCATTTCGGAGCTCGCTGGTTCATTTATTAGATCTTTGGATATCTGAGGCTCATTTTTCGCAGTTACTGAACTTTGAGACTCATTTTTCAACATTTCTGTACTCTCAAGCTCATTAATTGGCATTTTTGAACCGTTCTGTGACTCATTTGTCAGCATTTCTGAGCTTTGATCATCATCTTCTGGTGTTTTTGACCTTGGAGCCACCTTTTCTGGGACTTTCGGTACTTTAAAATCTTCGTTATTGATTATATCAAAAGATATGTTTTCTTGCAGTAGTTGTTTCGTTTTCTCTACTATAACATCGGTGTCTAAGGGCTGTGTGTCCGCCTGCTCGTCACTGTTTATCCAATCTTGTGTAGATTTAGGAAATGGTTTCTTCGTTTGAAGAGCCTCCTGTTTTGCTTTTTCCCTCTTCTTGTGACCGAAGCCGACACATTTTGGCTGTAGAAGAAATAATAATGTAGATATTAAAAAGTTACCCATTATGACAGTTTACTGATATCTATATATATAAAAGAAAGTCGTGTTAGTTACACCACTTATAACTCAAGAACGGCAGAATAGATTTGGCTGAAAATTGGTAGGGAGGTAGCTTAGAGCCAGGAGACCGACATAGGATACTTTTTAACCAAATTTTTTATTTACTTTTTTCCGAAAATCACGAACGGGTACGGGAAAACATGGGATGGTACGCGTACAAAGTCGCGGGCAGAAGCTAGTTATAAATACATCTCAGTGACGTCAAAATGGCTGAAGTAATGAAGACGTTGCATGGGGAACCATGCTACGGGACGGCTGGGTGGGCTCGACCCGAGTAAAACAAAGGCCTCACAGAAAACCAGTGTGATAAAACGCTTACGTGTGAGTGAGGTTACTAGAGACCCATGGCCGTTTTCACCATAAACCATCTCTTAAATAAGAGTTACTTAGCATCAGGAAGTACCTAAATTAACCATTACAACTTAATTGCACTGTTGAGTATTACTTGAAGGTTGGTGAAAACAAAGTGTTACCTATCTTAGTTAGTCTTTAAAAAGGTCGGTAAAAACGGGCACCTTAGTCTCTTCAAAAGGTTGGCAACACACCTGTGACTCCTCTGGTGTTGCGGGTGCCCATGGGCGACATTTGCTTATCATCAGGTGATCAGTCTACTTCTTTCGACTTATACCTAAGTATGTATTGTAAACTTACTTGGTCTATTTCTAGCATTATCGGTTCTATGATACCGTTGCCCCTCGCTCCGAGCGCTCCCCCACTCCATCCCATACCGCGCATCATACTGTAACATAATCATGATATTAATATTCTGTTCGGCTCCTATTTATCGCAGCGTGACGTTATATAGCCAATAGCTTCTAGATTATTAGATTATCATCATCACGCCTTCTGCCCCCGAAGGGGTAGGCAGAGGTACACATTACGGCACTTAATGCCACTGTACAATGTAACACCCACTTCTCACTTATTTATGTTATGAATCCCATTTAATAGGGGGTGAGCCTATTGCCATACACCGGGTACAATTCCAGACTCCGTGTTATTACCGAGTTTTTTTTAAACCCTGAATACTTTACCCGACTATCGTATTTCGGTTATCGAATCCGAGATCCCTTGCCCGGCAGTCGCACTTACGACCACTCGGCCAACGAGGAAGGTAGTCAAGAGTGTACAAGTGGTAAATGTATTTAAAATGAAGTTGTAATACAACTGACAGGGCTTTGTTTAAAATCAGACGCCTTCTGGCTGATGATGATAGGTATGTTTCTATAATAACTACCGTGAGGCATACTAAATTAACTCGCGGGTTACTCACGTGAATATACTGAGAAAAGCTCTACTAGTTTTGAGCCACAGAGGGGTTCTTCCTCATGAGCAACCAGCGCGGTCGCAGCGATGTCGCGCAGTTTACTGGTTTTTTTGTCTCACGATAGTTATTATAAAATCATGAAACACTGTTTTTTTTTTTAGTATATTCACGTGAGTAACCCGCGATTTTTAGTTAAGACTTTGACTGCCAATAAAAACCTGTTGAAGGTAAATCCTCCGCTAACGCCGGTCACCGATGACCCATGGCGTTTAACGTTTTAACAATATATAATATCAAAACTTACCGCATAGCCTTATCGCTTTGTACAGGATTAGCCAACCCTTCCCTCAGCTTGCCCTTACGTTCCAACTCGATACCTCGCCAGTCTATCTTCTCGTTGACTTTCCTGAAATCACACAATACTAGTAGTTAACCATCATAGTCCAATCACCCTCAAACCATCTCCTAACTAAGAGTTACTTAGCCTGAGGGAGCACCTAAACTAACCCCGTATTTTTTTTATGGAATAGCAGGCAAACGAGCAGACGGATCACCTGATGGTAAGCGATCAGCGCCGCCCATGGACACCCGCAACACCAGAGGAGTCACAGGTGCGTTGCCGGCCTTTTAAAAAGGAATACGCTCTTTTCTTGAAGGTTCAAAGGTCGTATCGGTTCGGAAATACCGCCGACGACAGATCATTCCAGTTTTGCTGTGCGAGGCAGAATGCATCGTGAGAAGCGCACAGTTGTGGCCTGCCAACCATCTATATGGTGGGGGATGTATATTCTGTCGTGTCTGTATATATTACTAGCTTTTACCCGCGGCTTCGCTCGCGTCACAAAAGGATAAAAAGTAGCCTAGATGTGACATATACCAATACATACAGCGCCATCTATACCAATACTAGTCGTTGCATGTCATGTTGTGTGCACATACTTGTGGAAGCATGGTCTGCCATTTACAGTTTGGTATTGTTATTCTGTTGTGTATTTCGCTGTGTTTCTGTTTTGTGTACCTATTAAATAAATAAATAAATACTTTTATTTTCCCTCGGGAATATCAGTTTTTTTCGGGATTAAAAGTACATAGAGTACTTTTAATCCCGAAAAAAATTTAATCCAGATTACTAACTTTACGTCTGCAAAAATTCAATGCAATCGGTTTAGTAGTTACGGCGTGAAGTCGGAACAAACAAACAAACAAACTCACTTCCCGATTTATAATATTAGTAAGGATATGTATTGTTAAGTTTATTTTGGGTGGATCGAATACATATAGAAAGACAAAGTGTATAAAGAGACATTCGGCGTGAAGGATTTTAGAACGAATAACTATCGCATTCGTAACTTTAGTAACGTGCGCGTTCAGTGCTCTGATTGGTTAATTCACTAGAGCCGGCCAATCACAGCGCCGAACGTGCACGGGCAATCAGCTCCTTGAGCACTAGTTTCCTGTGCCTTTAGCTCATGCCACTTTAGCGCTTGTCTACAGAGAGAGTAGAAATCAAAATGTATAGGGATGACACTGACAAGTGTCATACGTCAATTCTATATAATTTAGTAGACAAGCGCTAAATGGCATTTGGCTACAGCTGCTGAATAGATAACTACCAAGTTAAATAGGTTTGTGAAAACCAAAATGTCCGTCGTTAAGTGTCATCTATCTTAAAGTACTAGCTTTTGCCAGCGACTTCACCCACGTTCCTATAAAAGTAGCCTATGTTAACACATAGGCTTCTTTTCTTACACATAGGCTACTTTACTTTTTTTTACGTTCCAGGTCATAATTACACGTGCTCCAAATTTTTTTTTATGGCATAAGCCGGTAAACGAACAGACAGATCACCCGATGGTAAGCAATCGGCGTCGCCCTTGGACACCTGGAACAGCAGAGGTGTTATAAGGGCCCTTTTGGGGAATTAGAGTTTGAGGATCGTTGGGGATTCAGGAAATGGGGAGATTGGGGAAGGGGAGGGTAATTGGGTCTCCGGTAACCTCACTCACACGACGAAACACAACGTAAGCGTCGGTTTTCTGTGAGGCCGTGGTATCACTCCGGTCGAGCCGGCCCATTCGTGCCGAAGCATGGCTCTCCCACACTTTTTAAATTTTAAATTTCATTCGGATCCCTTCGGCCGTGGGATAAAAGTAATACTATGTGTACCACAATAGCAAGCGTGCATGATGTTTTATAGCCTATAGCCATCCTCGATAAATGCGCTATCCAACACAACAAGAATTATTCAAATCAGACTTGTAGTTACGGAGATAAGCGCATTCAAACAATCAAACAAAAAACAAACTCTTCCGGTTTATATAAGAGTATAAGATAAGAAGTATAAGATAACGTCACGAAATGCGATAGTTATTCGTGCTTGGCACTCGATTCCAAATATCATTCCGATCCTTTCAGCCGTTTGGACGTGATTAACATACAGACTGTAGGGGTTGTAAGCGCCTACACTTGGATGATAGTTGATAGGTTGCCTGCTTCTCGTTGATATAGACACGAAGATTGCGTAGAAATGATAAAATAACACAAACTTCTGTGACGAGAGTATATTGATACTTATTGATACAAATGATAAAGTGCAGTGATATAAAATGCTAATGATACAGTTTAAATAGTCGTACAAAAGTACTGACGCGCGCCGCGACAGTAATTATGTATATAAAACAAAATTAAACCTGTACAGTTGTCTGTACACAGACAAACAGACAAACTTTCGCATTTATTTGTTAATTATTTATTTTATTTATTTATTTATTTACACTTTTTGTATATATACAATGGCGGACTTAATGCCTAGTGGCATTCTCTAACAGTCAACCTTAGGGTGATGCAGAGAGACACAATAGTAGGTGTAAACGTTTAACACTTATTAGAATGACACAATTAGTTTGTATATAAAAAATATAGTAATTGATTTAATGTTACTAGTAGCGACATCTAGTGTAAGATATGTCAGTTGTTTTGTACTTTATGGCATTCTCCTTTCGTTTTCAATAAACTTTATTTAGTCTGTGATTGGAACGCAAACGTTGTAGTTTTATTTTAACAATATTAAGTAAGATAGTAAGAAGTAAGATAACTTACTTGGGTTTCCCCCGTACAGTCTTCTTGTCTACACTAGAAGTGAGACTCGAACTTTCAGTATCAGTTTCAGAATCCCCAGAAACAGTGTTGTTTCTGAAATATATAGAAATAATGTATATTTCTATTCTTATGTACAGTCAACGGTCAAAAGTCCACTGCCACCGTGAGTGATGTTCACACGGCAATGCGTAACTAATTCCATATTAATGTGCATAAAAACGCGTGCGTACGCATAAACACACGCACGCGTACGCACACGGATAAAAATATGCGTGTGCATGTGGGTATAAGCGCTGCAGCGCAACCGATAGTAGTGTTACGGTGGCAGTGGACTTTTGAACTTTGACCGTACACACGGTTACAGATAGAATAATATTATTGTGTGACGTATGTTTGTTAGCAGTATTTTAGCAATATGAGCCTCTAGTATGGCTTGAAGCTAGTTATTCGTCAAACAGCTGACGCAAATCACTGTTTTTGTATTATACATATTTTAAACATACTGTTAGATGAAAAAAATCAACTAGATGAACGGCACTAGTTTAATCTGTGTTATCGACAGCTCTAGCTGTCATATTGACGATGTCATCTGTCAAATGTGACAAATTAGTAAAGTTTCCCGAGTAGAGTTGTAACGCGCATCGACATATACTAATGGACATGCTATTTTTTTTTAATGGGTGGAAGTCATCGAATGACTGCTCCCGCCTTGGTGAGGCGGGAGGGAGTGTCAGACTCTTACTGACTAATAACCACTCCGTTCCTTCTCCTGCACGTCGAGCCGGAGCCCCGGTTACCCGTTAGGTACTCCGCGACTCCGAATCGGCATCGGCCCTGTTGGGCCCAATCTGTGGTTGTCTTTGAGGCGCGCGCGGAACGCGACGCGCCGTACGCTTGGGTCTGTTTCTGGTCGGACGGGGAGCCACCCATGCTCGCCGTCCGCAGGCCCGCGCTTACGGTGGCCGGAGATCGTCCCGCGATCCCCGACGATGGACATGGCATAAATATGAGAATTGTGGCACTCCGAAAGAAAGGTTTCGGTCAATCTATATCTCTCTCAAAATAGTACCGTAGTTAAGACGTTATGAGTGAGAAAGAGATAGCGCTAGACCGAAAGCATAGGTCATCTCTCTCACTCCTTTCAAACCAAAAAATTACTGCAGATTATACGCGTACGGCATGTCCATTAGTATAATGTCGATGGTAACGCGCATACGATTAGGAAGTTTTGAATAAGTATTATGTAGTTTTCTTGTGAAGCTGGCTTGCAATAAACTTTTTGCTGTATTGAAGTATTGAGTTTTACTTAAAAATACATACATTATACATTCATTCATACATATTCTATATTTTGTTGGATTTATACGTATAAGTACTTGTATACAACATGTAACTTAAATAACGCACATCCTGAAAATAGTTCGTTCAGAATCGCTAACTGAATCGATTTATATAATTTTTAGTATAGGTCATTTTTATCCCAAAAATAATAAAAACTACGGAAATTATTGTCATATTAACCCTGTATTGTTAAAACATCGAAATGGACCGTAAGTCAAAGCAATAAGACTTTTAAAATCGCAGTTTTATTTGTATTCATACAAATTCTATCATTCAATACAAAATAAAGAAAAATAAACCTTATGACAAGACCAGTAAAGATGTGTATACATGTTAAATTAAAAATTTTGTGTATGTTATATGATTATAACATAATATTCTAATTGGGGTGTTTGAGGGTGAGCGTTAATTACTTTACATGTTGTATATTTATTTTATATATGTTAGTGTTTTATTTTGGTTAGTTTGTAAGTAGTTTTAATTGTTGGTCTAAATTTTCATTGTCTTCTACTTGTTTGTTTTTTTTGTTGCTGTTATACACTGTGTCATATGATGTATTTATTTCTCCTCTCGCAGGGCGGCAGGAAGAAATCCCATAAGTGATATGCAGTGCCTATGCTTACCTTTCTTTTGATATATATGTATATATATTTCCTGTGTATTGTCTGTATTGTGTACATAAATAAATACTTATATAACATCACGCCTGTCTCCCATGGGGTAGGCAAAGAATGGAATATTAATGTAAAAATTTTAGACGATAGGTAACCAAAACCATTTCCGTAAGAATGTTATGCAAATATGAAAATTATATTCGCAATTAAGACCGCCCCCTTGTAATGGTTATAATAAATAAATAAATAAAGTATAAACCTACGACGCAAAGATAATTCTAAGTAATGAAGTAACTTACGACTAACGTTAAGTTTTCGAGAATGTTCGATTAGTTTCGAGCCACATCGGAGCTCATGATAATGAGACTTAAACTAGGGCAACCTCGATGAGTTTACGTAAGTGGCAAATGTTTTTTAAATAAGTTATATTAGGATGGATACTTATTTTTACTTATTTACCTACTATTAGTACAGTTATAATGTAGTTAAACTACAAATTATAAAGCTGTCAAAATATCAATATTGATTTAGTACCTACTAGAAGAAATTTTAGTTATTAATGATTGTATTATTTATTAAAAGCTTAATGAAAGACCTCGCACTACACTAGCGCCATGAATTGAGCACAAAAACCGGAACCCTCAATGAGATCGGCTGTATGCACATACCTTGATTCTATATCGCTCACGATTTGTTCCTGTTTTTTTAACATTTTATTTTTATTTGCTTTATCTTTCTTCTTGCGCCTCAATCTTTATTTAAAAACCATAAAATAACATAAAAAATAAATAAACAAATAACATAAATATTATTATAAAATACAAAACTAAATCAATTATAATATAACGCCTTATAATTCCTTGGTAGAAGAATATACAATGTAACATCCACTTTTCGCTATTTATGTTATGAATCCCATGTAATATAGGGTGAGTCTATTGTCATATACTGGGCACAATTCCAGACTCCGTTTTATTACTGAAAAATATTATAATAACTTAACTTTAAACACGGGAATCGAACCCGACACACACATGGAAATTTGTAAAAACAAAATTTAGAAAAAAAATGTTTCAACTAAAAATAAATTACCACAATTTGGAATAAAATAATTAAATTTTACAAAAAAAAAATAAATAAAGAAAATAATAATACCTTTTCTTTACAACATCGGCGGGTATATTCTCAGTGACACCGTTTATATTTATTAAATCTTTCAATTTAATTTTATTCTTCTTTTTGCTAAAACGAAAAAAATAAAAGCTAAAATATAAATAAAAACAAAAAAAAACATAGGCACTATAAAATAGAGTATTTTTATCCAGAATTTCTAACATCTGCAGTACGAGGCGATAAGAGCAAAGAACTGTAGGAGAGCCATGCTTCGGCAGGAATGCGCCAGATCAACCGGAATGATACCACGGCCGAGCAGAAAACCCACGTGAAACAGCGTTTGCGTTGTGTTTCGTCGTATGAGTGAGGTTACCGGAGGCCCAATTACTCCCTCCTTTCCTCAATCCCTGAATCTCCAACAATCCTCAAATTCCTAATCCCAAAAGGCCGGTCACGTACTTGTAACGCCTCTGGTGTTCCAGGTGTCCATGGGCGATGCCGATAGCTTTTCAGATGATCTGTACCATTAAAAAAAGAAAGAAAGAGACGATCGATCTGTTATGCCCAAGGAATGTCACAGTACCCTTATGCCAGTCAGAGTGCTGACTCTTCACTCCTCTCCCCAAATGCGTAGAACCCCGTCCTATACAAACAGTCAGCCGTATTCCATCCACAATCGCGTGCACTCGTGAGTTACTCTCGAAATTATATTTACGAAATTATAAAAGTCGACTGCCACTGTAAGACTACTATCGGTTGCGCTGCAGCGCTTATACCCACATGCACACGCATATTTGTATCCGTGTGCGTACGCGTGCGTGTGTATATTTATGCTACGCACGCGTTTTTATGCACATTAATATGAAATTACATACTTACGCATTGCCGTGTGAACATCACTCACGGTGGCAGTGGACTTTTGACCTTTGACTGTACCTATTAATTTCTTAAGTTTAAATAAAAGTAATTTTGTTCTACGAACGTGCTGTGTTTTCTTTAAGAGAACTTAACATATAGAAATCTAACAGATCGATCGATCTGGTATTTGGTACACAATCTTAACCTTGGTGACCATACAATATTATCTAATACTAGCTACCTCCGCGCGGTTTCACACGCTCTGCTCAGCTCCTATTGGTCGTAGCGTGATATTTTAGCCTATAGCCTTCCTCGATAAATGCGCTATCCAACACAAAAATAATTATTCAAATCAGACTTGTAGTTACGGAGATTAGCGCGTTCAAACAAACAAACAAAAAAACAAACTCTTTCGCTTTATATGTATCATAGTATAACATATAAGATAAAACCTTACCTTTCTGAACCTCCTGGGTTGACAGCTATCGGAATCTTGTTGTAAATTACTTGGCTGCAACAAAGAAATTGCATATTTCAATCATTGCTTTCTTTTAAAGAGGAAAAATCGATTTTCTATTTAACCCTAAGGTTGACTGGGAGAGGATGCTATATGGCATTAATATCCGCCTTATGTAACATCACTTGTTTCTGTGTACATTAAAGTTTAACTCGTCGAGTACCGGTTTTATAGACACAATTAAAGAACAATAGGTCGCGGTCACCGGTGACCGCTTGGTGTTTGACAGTTTAAATAAATAAAGTCAACCAATGACTCCTCCCACCCCAGGTGAGGCAAGAGAGTGTCAGACTCTTACTGACTAAACAGCACCCCGTTCCTACTCCTGGTTCGAGCCGGAGCTCCGGTAACTCCTGCCGCTTCATCGCGGATCGGAAGAATACAGATTTAGAAGTCATAAGGGGAGGCCCGTGTGCAGCAGTTCACTTCTTGTAGCTGATATTATGAGACTACAAGAAGTGGTTGGTTTTTAACGTAAACGCGTTGGATTGTTATTGTAAAAAGAAAAAATAAGATTGCTTCGTGCTTTTATTTACGACTAGTAGTCAATATTGCTGATAGTTATAAGTGTAATAAAAATGTAACAATAGAATACTATACGTATAAAACAAATGCATGTATAATTAAATCTTAAGCATGTAGAATCTGGATTTAAACGGACTAAAAAATAGGATACTTTATCTTAATCTGAAAGAAAAATACGTGATATTTGCCGAGACCCCCCCCCCCTCTCTCCAACGTAAGATTAGATAAGATTAGTCTTTTTTTTACAAATACAAATAGTTTATTGTGTCAATAAGTAAGTACATTACATGTTAACGTGTTTGGAGCCCATTTAAGCAAACAATGCCTGTATTAGGAGGCTCCGCTCTTTTTACATCATTGTCGTACACATAATACCAACTCAGTTAATATTATAGTGTACTGAGACCTTAGGGTAAATATGCAATGTAAGTCTACCTCCTCCCCCTCTTAAACATCTCACGTAATTTCTTCACGCCCCCTAATAAGATCACAAAATAGTAGTTAACTACGCCCTACACTGCTGACACGCTATTAATAATGAATGGAAATACTCACTGAAACTTTATCTTAGGATCAGTGGAACCCTTCTTCTTTTTATATTTCTTCATACTGGCCACCACTCTGTATACATTCTGTACTTCCTTTAGTTTTCTATATAGTTGACGTGTTTCTTGCGTCCATTCTACTCGTACGTCTGGATTCTTCCATTTTATACAGCGCTTGTAGAACCTGAAAAATTATTAAATATAATTCTTGTCTATTTATGTTTGGTATAATTTAGTTCTGTTCATCATATTCTGTAAATTTGGACTTTAGTTGGCAGATTGGACTTGGACTATGGAGCCCAGCAGTATACTCTCACGCGCTATAGGTAATCCTTACTAATATTATAAATCGGAAAGTGAGTTTGTTTGTTCCGCCTTCACGCCGTAACTACTAGACCGATTGCTTTGAAACTTTGCAGACGTAAAGTTATGATTAAAGATTAAGAAGTCTGGATTAAATAATAGGGTACTTTTTATCCCGGAAAAATTGATATTTCCTAGGAAAAACAAAGATATTGGTATAGATGGCGCTGTATGTACTGGTATAGATGGCGTTGTATGTCATTTAAAACCAGTCAACGAATTACCTACTTATTGGAAAAATCTAAATAGCGCGATATAACCGAATTCCACACGAGCGGAAAGCTATTTGTTTGTTTGCCTGTCTTAAACGGCAGAACGGAGGTACTAAATAACGTGATTTTTTAACTGAAGGTAGTTGAACGGATGGATAGTCACATAGGCTACTTTTTATCCTTTTGTGACGCGAGCGAAGCCGCGGGTAAAAGCTAGTAATAGATATTATTCTTGTATTATTATGTTTGGTATAATTTAGTTCTGTATCTGTTCCTCGCGACTTCGTCCGGGCAGAATTTGGACTTTTGTTGGCAGATGGGACTTGGACTGTGGAGCCCAGCAGTGGACTCTCACGTGCTGTGAGATTTTTTTAAAACCAAGCAATACTTTGCCTGACCCGGGAATCCAACCAGAGACCACTTACCTGACAGTCGCACTTGCGACCACTCGGCTAACGAGGCAGTCACACCAAATTATATCATATCAAAAAATATTATATGTATATAAATAATTCGAACCAGAATTCAGCGCTGTCGTTTGGGGAGAACACAGTCGTTGTTTCGTCATCGGCCAAGAACTCTAGTATATTGGTGAGAGCTTGCTTAGCGAATGTGGCACTTATATGCATTTGGTTCCCTTTTGTGTTAGTAGACTTTGGCGCATCGTCTTGTACTTCATTATTTGAAGTTTCAGGTAGCGGTGGGTTCCTGTGGACAAGGAGAAATAAACCGGAGTGAGTTTGTTTGTTTGTTCCGCTTTCACGACGTAACTACTGAACCGATTGCTTTGAAATTTTGCAGAGGTAAAGTTAGAAGTCTGGATTAAATAATAGGGTACTTTTTATCCCGGAAAAATTTGATATTCCCGAGGGAAAACAAAAGTATTGGTATTGATGGCGCTGTGTGTATTGGTATGTCACATAGGCTACTTTTTATCCTTTTGTGACGCGAGCGAAGTCGCGGGTAAAAGCTAGTAATATATATATAGGGGTCCGCGGTGTCACATGAAAACAAGCCACGGGGCGCATACGGCCCGCGGGCCATTATTTGGACAGCCCTGGTATAAGATATAAGATTACTAATTCGTATTTTTTTAAGGGAGGAAAATCATCGAATGATTGCAGCCGCCTGGGTGCGGCAGGAGGGAGTGTCAGACTCTTACTGACAAAAAACCACCCCGTTCCTTCTCCTGCACGTCGAGCCGGAGCCCCGGTTACCCGTTAGGTTATCCGCGACTAGTAATTTTTTTTTTTTAAAAACATTGCCCCACAGTACGGTTTCCTCCTGTGTCGTGGGTGCGTTTATAAACATACAAGTTCACATACACAATGACACCCAGACCCGAAACAACAATTTGTGGATCACACAAAGTGTTGTTCCGTGCGGGAATCGAACCCGCGACACGTTGCACGGCTGCCGGTTGCCCAGCCACCGCACCAACCGTGCAGTCTAATAAATAACATAACATCATCACGCCTTTTATCCTCGAAGGGGTAGGCAGAGGTGCACATTATACCACTGTACAATGTAACACCCACTTTTCACTATTTATGTTATGTTAATAAATAATTAGGATAGATGTACAATAATACTTACATATTAGTACTTATATTAATATCACTTTGTTGCGATATCACAGAGGTTTCAGGCGGCTTCGGTTTTTCTACTTTTTCCATTAACAGGTACCTGAAACATTAAACATTTTAATACACACCGTGAAATGTACTCCGTTTTCGTTCCGCGTCAAAACAACTCGCCATAACGAGTACTTTCGATGATATAGTAAAAACAAAAAATATATCATATCTTTTTATGGGATAAGCCGGTAAATCAGCAGACGAATCACCTGATAGTGATGGTAAGCAATCGGCGTCGCCCATGGACACCTGGAACACCAGAGGCGTTACAAGTGCCTTCTGGATTAGGAATTTGAGTACTGTTGGGGATTCAGGGATTTGGGAACGAGAGGGGGGGTGGAGGGTAATTGGGCCTTCGGTGACCTCACTCACACTACGAAACACAGCACAACGTTGTTTCACGTCGGTTTTCTGTGAGGCCGTGGTATCACTCCGGTCGAGCCGGCCCATTCACGTCGAAGCATGGCTCTCCCACACTTACAATTTTTTTTAGTTTAAACAAATGTTCATGGACATATGTATGCACATGAAACACTAGACGTTTTGTATGCACTATTTGCATCGAATGTACCATCGTAGCATCAAAATGAGACCATTTAATTGTAAAAGGAACAATTCATTTTAAAGTTATAGAGGGTTTGATATGATGACTAAAAACGGCTGTATCTTCGCACTGTTATGAACAAAGCCTTATTGGAAATTATAATCTAATCAATCCTTACATTGTTGTTAACAAAGAACCATACTTATAAATTATAATCTAATCAATCCTTACATGTTGTTAACAATGAATTACTATACTTGTGAATTGCAATCTAAACAATCTTTACATTGTTGGTAACAATTCTTTGCCAGAGTCTGTATTTCCTGAAGGGTATAACCTGGGAGTCTTCAAGGCCCGAGTGAATAGGTTGCTTATGGGACGACGTGCTCCAACATAGACCGCATCATCGCTTACCATCAGGTGAGATAGTGGTCAAACGTCGCCCCATCAATTATAAAAAAAAAAAAAAACAAAGACCTATACTTTTAAATTACCACCTAAACAATCGTTATATTGTTACTAACAAAGATCTAAGCACTCCTTACATTGTTATGAACAAAGCCCTATACATATAAATTGCAATTAATCTGTCAAACACCAAGCGGTCACCGGTGACCGCGATCTATTGTTCTTTAATTGTGTCTATAAAACCGGTACTCGACGAGTTAAAGCAATCGATACATCCTGTGGCACTTATACGCGCAAATATAATTTATCGACTAAGGGATAACCCCCCCACCACTGGCCATATAGAATAAAATATACGTCTTAGTTGTGTATAGATTCACTCCAGATAAAGTTATTCAACTATTAACACCGTTTTATATCACACAGTAATTATTGTAAGTCGAAAGTTGTGAAGTGTAAAATAAAGAAATTATTAGCACTTGTGGTGTCATTTTAAAAGGGACTCCCGGAGCGCCATCCTAATAGCTCCTGTAGTAAACTGTGATTTTCAATAAACAAAAACTTGCTTTTATAATAACTATCATGAGACATACTAAATGGGAATTTTTTTACTGCACCTCTATTTAGAATTTTAAGCAAACTAAATTTCTCCACTAATATCCTACTGCACATCACAAAAATGACTGTACTTACTACAAATTAACTACATATTACTCACTATAAAACAAAAATACTGATTTGCTCACAAATTGTTCAATATTACAATGGAATTTCCAAAATAGGTTTGGTTAGGAATTATTAGATTTACTTTTAGTTAAAAGATAGTCATTCAGTAAAACAGTTAAGCTTTAAAGATCTAACAGTACAGTATAATTGATTTATTTGATGAGCAAATTTAGTGTGCAATTCAGTATTTTTGGTGGTAACTTCAAAAATTTTGATAAAAAAGGGGATTTACAGTTAAAGTATTAAATACCACCCATACTAAATTAACTAAAAACATACTGAGAAAAGCTCTACTAGTTTCGACCGCGCACGCTGCTCATGAGGAAGAACCCCTCTGTGGTTCGAAACTAGTATAGCTTTTCTCAGTATCTTCACGTAAGTAACCCGCGATTTCGAGTTAAAAAAAAACTTACTTTTTCTCATTCCCAGACTCGACAGTCTGCATTTTCAAATCGTAATTCTTATAAAATACTTTGAGCCCATCACACAGGTTCTTGTACAAGACTTGTATGTCTTGAACACTGTCCTGTATTTCTTCATTTCCTACTAAACTGTGTAGATACTCTATCTGTTCGTCACTCAATTCCGGGAATATTTTAGACTTTGTCGCTGCGTTTTGAATGAAAGCCAGTGTCACTCGAAGACAATGGGTCTTGAAACCGTTTGATACTTGGTCCGAGGGCGTTGACCTTTGGCTTTCCGTGGACATTGTTGCCGATGCTGATAACTCGGTTTCAGAACTGAAAATGTTCAAGAAAAAGATATTTTAATTTGAAGGTTAAGTAAAGTTGTATGGAATATGAGGTGGAATGAGCAGAGGAAACTTGATGGTAAGCGATCAGCGCCAGCCACAACATCAGAAATCATATGTCGTCTTTTAAGAAATATAGACACCCACAACACCCGATTAGTTATAAGTGCGTTGAAGACATAGATATAAAGAAGCAGATACCTATGGTGTGGAGTAGGTACAAAATGCCTGCCTCATTGGCCAAGTGGTCGCAAGGGCGACCGCCGGGCAATGGGTCTCGGGTTCGATTCCCGGGTCGGGCAAAGTATTACTGGGTTTGTAAAAACCTCAGTAGTAGCACGGAGTCGGGAATTGTGCCCGGTATATGGCAATAGGCTCACCCCCTATTACATGGGAGTCATAACATAGATAGTGAAAAGTGGGTGATACATTGTACAGTGGCATTAAGTGCCGTAATGTGCACCTCCTGCCTACCCCATCGGTAATGTATGCAAATACGTTGAACTCAATTTTACATAGCTTGTTTAATTACTCCGTGACCGACAAAGGTGGTTGTAAAAGAGCAATGTATGTATTTAATGCAAACACAATACAGTCGCAGTAGTATCGGAAAATAATAAAATCTGCGTTTAAAAAAACCGACTTCAAAAACGAAAAGTCAAGAGTCAAAAGTCAAACAAACGTAAAACAAGTCCTCATCAATACAAATTAATCAAACCCAAACACAAGATAGCGACTGTTAACCGTCGAGGAGTTCCCTCAACTATGGTACTACTTCATCATCAGACCCACTGGCAATTACATACCACCTAAGTATAAAGTACTCATCAATACAAATTAGGTAATTAAACCCAAACACAAGGTAGCTACTGTTAACCGTTGAGGAGTTCCCTTAACTATGGTACTACTTCATCATCAGACCCATTGACAATCACATACCACCTAGGTATAAAGTCCTCATCAATACGAATTAATCAAACCCAAACACAAGATAGCAGCTGTTAACCGTCGAAGAGTTCCCTCAACTATGGTACTACTTCATCATCAGACCCATTGGCAATCACATACCACCTAGGTATAAAGTCCTTATCAATACAAATTAATCAAACCCAAACACAAGATAGCGACTGTTAACCGTCGAGGAGTTCCCTCAACTATCGTATTACTTCATCATCAGACCCATTGGCAATCACATACCACCTAGGTATAAAGTCCTCATCAATACAAATTAATCAAACCCAAACACAATGTAGCGACTCTTAACCGTCGAAGAGTTCTCTCAACTATGGTACTACTTCATCATCAGACCCATTGGCAATCACATACCACCTAGGTATAAAGTCCTCATCAATACGAATTAATCAAACCCAAACACAAGGTAGCTACTGTTAACCGTCGAGGAGTTCCCTCGAATGCCTATCGGCTCCATCATCATATCAGCTCCAGACCTTCATCAGATTGTAGTAGTTTTAAATACTTAACGAAAACATTAACAAATGTACTAGTCGCCCCTATAATTTTTAAAAGTTCCCCTCGGTTCCCCTGGGATTCCATCATCAGAGTGCCAAGCACGAATAACTATCGCATTCGTAACGTAATAGTATCGAGCGCGTTCGGCGCTCTGATTGGCCGGCTCAAGTGAACTAACCAATCAGAACGCTTAACTCGCTCGATACTGTTGCGATACGAATGCTATAGTTATTCGTGCTTGGCACTCAGATCCGGACTTCATGACAATGGGACCAAATGACAAGCCTACCCTTTCAAACAAATGAGATAAACAAAGAATTCAGTCCAGGCGTCGAGTAATCGTGTAACAAACATAAAAAAAAAAACATACAGTCGAATTGAGAACATCCTCCTACTTTTTGAAGTCTGCAAAAACGGCATTTCATCGTTCGTTCTACCATCTTGGTCGACAATAGACTAACTCGCGATGACGGTAATTTTTGTTCGAATTGAACGGAGCGCTCAATGACGCGGCAAGCTGACACTGCCCCCATGCCACTTCTCCCGTTTTTAATATTTCTGTGAAGGCCTTTTGGGGGTTAGTGAGTCGCGGGAAAAAGGGGGCGTTCAAATATTACGTAGCCCAATTTGAGAAGAAGAGGGGATCTCGTAAAGCTTTACGACGACTTGGGTAAGTATGTAACCTGTTTCACCTTTATTTATGAAAAAAAAAAACTAGAGTATTATCTCGCAAGTTGGCAACCCTTTTCATTTCTACATATTTCACGGGGAATCCCTTGAAAATCTACGTTTTATAAGCCATTACTATTTTACGCTCTGAAGTTAACAACCGTCTTTGTTCGGGGAATCCCTTGATTGTATCTTAAACGTCGCAGTGATGATTCATAACTTTGTTCGGGGAATTCCTCGATTGTATTTATAACGATTGCAGCGTAGATTATGAAGTTACGACACAAATAACCCATTATTATAATCAATTAAGTAAATTGCAAGCATGAATCAGCTTTAATATAACAGACTAACTATTCCCACGCGGTTTCACCCGCTCATGTTATTTTGGATTGTGGTAAGCTCGTGGTCGCTCATGGACAACCACAACAGTAGAGAGGTTAAAATCCAAGTGAGTTGTTGGCCTTTTGGGACTGGGAGTTCCGAATTTGAGGTTGTGGGTGGGGGGGGGGGGATATTGGTAACCTCACTCGCACGACGAAACACAATGTAAGCGTTGTTTCACGCCGGTTTTCTATGAAGTCGTGATCGGCTGCATACCGTAAAACAAAGTCTCTCTCTCTCTCTTTCTCTCTCTCGCTCTCTCTCTTTCAATCTCTATCTGTCTGTGTCTATTCACCTCTCGAAATCTATCCACCATGTTTTTAGTTACGAAGTTAGTATCACCATACATAAAAATATCCTAACAATCTCACTAATATTTTAGATGCAAGTTTGTGAAGATGCATGTGTGTATGTTTTTACTCTTTTACGTCAAAACGGCTGAATAGATCGAGATGAAATATGGAACCGGTGTAGATTTGTACATTAAGGTCTGGAATGACGCATAGGCCACTTTATATACCATGGGGACGCGTGCGAAGCCGCTGGCAGAAGCTAATCATATCATAAAAACGCTCAATGGGGACAAAAATAACACGTAGGTAAAATAACATCACACCTTTTATCCTCGAAGGGGTAGGCAGTAGGTACAATGTAACACCCGCCCCCACCCAGTAGGGTAATAAGATTATCCAAATAAATATATTAAAGTACTCACTTTGATGTTGACAACACGGGTGTCTCGTTAGCCGTACCAAAATACTGCTTCTCAACTGTTAGTATTAAACTGAAAAAAAAAAGTAATAAGAAAATTGCATTTTTTTATAAAACTTACAAAAATGTGTTGGGGGCTCTAGCTAGTCTAACACAGACTAAGTTCATAAACAGCATTCAAATTAATTAAGATTTACCATTGGATTTAACACAGCTGTAGTTCATTAGACAAATTATATTTAACTAGCTGTTACCCGTGAGTACATCTGTGTAGAATACAATTCCTGTTTTATCCCATAGGCACATTACCCCATCGAGCGTCCGCGTTCCTTATGATCCAACGGGTGCACACGTGACATTTGCAGAAAGAAAGAAAATGCATTTATTTGGCCATTGGCACACGAAAACAAGGATCATTACAATAAAAATAAAAAATACAGTCAAAATAAAAACAAAACATTAATCATAGATTTTATAAAAGAAAAAGCAGCATGGAGCATTTTTTCTTATGATCCACCGGGTGCTCATAAGGACGCTCGAGGGGTTAAATCAGGATAAAACATCCAATATACTATCACCTAAGTCAGCCCATACCCTGCCTGTATACCAAATTTCATCTAAATCCATTCAGTACTTTCAGCATAATTGACGGACAAACATTCAAACATAGAAGCTTTCACATTTATAAATATAATATTATAGTATGATTGTTATTATGTGAACTAAATATTCCAAATTGAGGCTTAGTTTTAGCGTCATCACTGTCTCTGAGGCTAGAAAATTTTATTGTTTAATTATTTTATGTTTAAGCTCAAGGGCTATTTATACCTGTAAACGGTTTAGCAACTAGGTATGTACTGAATTTTATATTCGATAATATGGCTGACGTTTTTCTCTTAAGAAAAAAGCCCATCTTATAACTTAAGATAAAAATAAATTGAGGCTATTTATTCCTCAACTAAAGGGATAGGCATTCTTAAATAAAACTGTTTAAGAAAATTTCTATGAACATTCCGTTGTTGATATTATGAGATGAAATATAAAAATAAATGTTATGTTGCACTTAGATCTGCTTTCAAGCATGCCTCTGGGGTTAAGTACCTAATTAGGATTTTAACTCGTTGAGTACCGTCATTATAGACACAATTAAAGAACAATAGGTTGCGGTCACCGGTGACCGATTGGTGTTTGACAGTTTAATATGCATATTTCTATTGCTTTTATCTCATGAGCTAAAATTATTAAATGAATTTGAATTTGAAAATTACTTATAGAATGTGAGAAGTATCAAATTCTACACAAATAAGAACCAATAAGTTTTAGTCAACAATTTTTAGGTATTAAGACTTATTATTACCATAAAATAATCCTTAATTATTAGAAAAAAAGTTACCTACTTACTTTTTAACATGCTCTATGTATTTGTATGAGTGTGCCAGTTTGAAATCAGCCTTCTTTAACATCATTGCCTGCATTACTTTGTCACAAACATCTCTATATTTATAATCATCTAAGGACTGTGATTCCAATAACTCCATATTATCAATCACCATTATAAAAAACTCCTGGTAAGCTTTCACATGATAAAAAAAAGGGAGATACAATACATTCATTTCATCAGTATCAATGAAGTTGTGTAACTTCATGAAATTCAAACAAAGAATGTTGTAGTCCAATTTTTTCACATAATCATCGAAAGCATCATTTATTTTTCTTCTTTTGTTTTTTGGCGGCTGAATTGGCGGGTCAGCGTCAACTTTCGGCGCTTTTTTACCAGTTTTTGGCGGTAATTCTTCGTTACAACTTTCACACATCTCTGAAACTTCGTCATCAACATTTTCTTTTTGATTTTCATTAGATGGCATGCTGCCTCCAATTGCGGATCCGTTTTCATCATTTTCATTACAATTATCGCAGCCTAGAGCTGTCTCTAAGTTAGATTTGGCAAGAGCCATGGCACTTATGAAATATCTTTTAGATTCTAGATAATAATTACGACATAAATTTAAAAACGCGACATCAAAAAGTATTATTATTATTTAAAAACTTTCCGCAGTCTGTACATCACTGCCTTTGATCAATATTCTACTTACTGTATTTATTTTCATACAAAAATACTTAAAATACGTTCCTACTACTAATGGCCAATCATGAATTAAAAGTTATTCAAGATTGAAATAAAAATATTGGTCTCGTCTCACCCTCAATTCTTAGTCTTCTCTTCATGAACGATTGTTCAACACAATAAAATTTTAAATGTGCGACTCCGAGTCCGACTTGCCGGCTAACTTCTACCTTCACAACTTCATGAGAGATGAAGAATGTGGATGGAAATGGAAATCAATCAATAATTTCATTAGTCTCGAACACAATTTATTGCATTTTGATATGAATGAAGAAGGACAGCTATACGTTATTTGCAATGGTTGGTGAATGAGGGAAAATTATTAACGGAATATTTTCGCTCCAGTTTGAATTTGCTGAATTCGAGAAAATGGAACGTGCAGGAACTGAGTTGAAGCAACTGTCAATTAAACTGTCAAGGCTGTCAAAATTCCTATCGCGATTCGCGACTTGTTTTTTTTGACAATTTGACAACAGTAGGTTCACGGTGGATATTTTGGTAGGTTTGTTTCTTTTAGAAAAGGTGCACCAATATGTATTTGTCACCACATTATTATAAGCTTATTGATTAACTTTACGATATTGTCTAATAATAATTTTGTAAACTCTATAAAACAAAAAATGAAATACAATTTTGAGATTACCAGTAGAAATTTTATCTTCCATGACGACAACACTAGGAGATATTTTGACGTCTGCGAAGCGAAATCATCTGCGATGTCTTCTAACAATAACAAAAATTCCGAGAATCCCTCTGTTAGTAACACAACAGAGGCGTTAGACGTGAACTGGGATGTCGAGAAATACAGGGATGAACACGAATGCGAAGATCATTGGCAATTACGCAAAGCTTTCATGGAAAAATGGAAGAACAACTTCCCCGAGGAAAGACTAGTTTGTTTAGCTCGAGTTTACACTAATATTGAGTTCATGGGCTGTAGATATCCTCCGCCAGTAATGCAGCAGATCGCCCAGCTCTCATTTGAGGTAATTTTACCCTTGTAATACTAAAAATTACTAACTTATTGGATTTGGCAATAAAACAACCTCAAATCTTTGTTTACCTATTAATTCAGCAATGAAAGTTATTATAGTACGTTTATACGTTGTTTATTTACATTGTTTTTAGTTCTATTAACGATTACTTTTGCACATTTGAAATAAATTGTTGGAATCTTGTTATTGGCGCTGATGCTACATAATTATGGCTTATAGAGAATATTTTGTATCTATTTATGAAATATATTACTTTCATTCATCATCATCTACAGAAGACATCCACTTCTTTTAACATATTGTAAAAAAAATAATTGTATGACGAAGGTACGGACCAAGAGTCTTGCGAATATATATTCAATATTATAAAAAAAGGCATCCACTACTGGAAAAATGCCTCCCTCTTACTTCTACACTTGAGATCAAATCAACCAGTGTTTTAAATATTATTAAGAATAATTTGACTACCCTGTAGGTACAGCGAACGGGCAATCAACCGGGTAGCAGCATATGCACATTTAACATCTCTTTATATTGTTCAAATGTTTGTTTTGAATGAATATCAACATTGAATTTAAATAATGGTAACAACAAAACACATCAAATTCCAGGCTGGCCGTCAATTCCGAGAGAAAAAGAAATCAAAACTACAACGCACATTCGTTTCTGCGTCAACCGCAGCAGAAGACAGAGCTCGTGGTATTAAAAGAGTTGGAGGTGAAATTGTTACTGAAGATAAACCGAAATCTACCCGAATAGCATTCGTACCACAAGGAAAGGTAATAGAAGATGATGAAAAAGAAAAAGATTCGGATGGAGATGAACACCAAAACGAGGGTTCAGATCATGAATCGGAAGTTGCTAAGAAATCTTTTGACCTAAGCACAACGTCAACTGATAAAAATACAAAACAGTCCGAAGGAGAAGACTATTTTACAGAATTATCTAATCTTAAATGTTTAGATGTACGACTGTTTAGGGATAGGATGTTTGATAGTACATTCGGACGTTTGGTGCTGTTGATCCGACCGTGGGCTAGGAAAATATGGAATATACAGAGTGAGTATGCATTTTGATTTTTTTTATTTGTAAATGGTTGATCTATTATAAACATCGGCCTCTACAAGAATAATTGGCCATAGTCTCTGCACTTAAGAGCTGTGTTGTAGATTCTATTTTAAAAGGACCAAGTTTACCAGGTTTCATAAACTGGTTTCAGGTCAGTCCTCTAGTAAAGCTATTTGCTCGTTCCAAAGTATAGATTCCTATGGAGAAGAACGAGCCAGAAACTACATAAGTTACTCTTTTTCAATCAGGTTCACAATACAATTTTTGGCATTCTTTCGTTGAGTTCAATTATGTGAGAACAATGTAAAAGTTAATAAAACTTTTTTTTTTCAGCTAGCTGTCAAGTATGTGGACTATGTATCACTAATGGATATGAAAACAAGAGCTACACTTTACGTATCAACCAAAAATTGTTGGTGCAAGCGTCAGGCGAAACCAAAGTTGAGGCTAAGAATGCCGCTGAAATTATGGCGTGGGAGGTTAGTTACCAATTTTCACTTTTTACGGGTTTAAAAAAAAGGAGGAGGTACTATGTTTGGATGATTGTTTTTTTTTTATTTGTTCACCAATTACTCCGCCATTAGTACAGAGGTTGTACTCCCGAGAGGGTCCCATTTTCATCTTTATAGGATCAGATGATGGAATCCTAGGGAAACCGAGGCAAAAAAATCGGAGGGGCAAGTAATGCGCCTATTGTTTTTTAATAAGGATTTTTAAACAATACAATTAATGGTCTGGAGTCCACCTGATGATGGAGTCGACAGTCGAGTCAGTCCTCAACCGTTTATTGTAACTACATTGTGTTTTGGCTTGATTAATTTGTATTGATGAGAACTTTGCAGCTTAGTGGATTATAATGGCAAAACTGGTCTATATAGCTTTACACTAAAATTATAAAATTAAATAATAAAAACTGTGCGACTTCAAAAAATTAGTATTGATAGGTTACTCACCCACTGATTGGTTGAAAGTCTGTGCCGGCGACTGATTAGGGGAGTCAGTCGTAACATGTTGCACTACTTGCACTTACGACATCCACACTGAGTACTTATTATACTCTTTGGTAAAAGGAATATAAAATATTTCAACTATAATCTATACAGATAAAAATAAATTGGAGTGTATAGCCAGCTATTCGAGCGCCTGCGTGCAAATACCGATTATGCCACCCTCCTTTTTGTTAAGTGGGTAAAAAGTCATCAAATGACTCTTGAGGAAGTGACTTAGTTACATACAAATCTTACTAATTAAAAACGACCCCATTCCTTCCAACACTTGCCTTGGCTCAAAGCCAGGGCCTCAGTACCTGTATGCTACATACCCCAACAAGGCAATAATCCTAGTGGGCCTCGTCTATCGTCTGATGGCACTTTGAGGCCCGCCTCTTCCGCGCTCGGGTCTGGTACTTGTCAGGTGGTGAGCTATCCTTGCTTGCCGTCCGCAGACTCGCGCTTACGGCGGCCGGAGATCCCGACTACGCGACGCGATACTACGAGCGTCTCCTGTTACCTCCGGAAAATGTTAGAGGATACATGATAGATTTCGAGTTACTCTCGAAAGTGATCGTGGACGCTCGATAGTTTTCAAGTACTTCTCGAAATTATTCGAGGACGCTCGATAGTTTTCGAGGACGCTCGAAAGTGTACGAGGACGCTCGATAGTTTTCGAGGACGCTCGAAAGCGTACGAGGACGCTTGATTGATTTCGAGAACGCTCGATAGTTTTCGAGGATGCTCGATTGTTTTCGAGGACGCTCGATTGATTTCGAGGACGCTCGATAGCTTTCGAGGACGCTTGATTGATTTCGAGGACGCTCGATTGTTTTCGAGGACGCTCGAAAGTGTACGAGGACGCTCGATTGATTTCGAGGACGCTCGACTGATTTCGAGGACGCTCGATAGCTTTCGAGGACGCTTGATTGATTTCGAGGACGCTCGATTGTTTTCGAGGACGCTCGAAAGTGTACGAGGACGCTCGATTGTTTTCGAGGACGCTCGAAAGTGTACGAGGACGCTCGATTGATTTCGAGGACGCTCGATTGTTTTCGAGGACGCTCGATTGTTTTCGAGGACGCTCGATTGATTTCGAGGACGCTCGATTGTTTTCGAGGACGCTCGATTGATTTCTAGGACGCTCGATTGATTTCGAGGACGCTCGATTGTTTTCGAGGATGCCAGATTGATTTCGAGGACGCTCGATTGTTTTCGAGGGTCGTCGATTGTTTTCGAGGACGCTCGATTGATTTCGAGGACGCTCGATTGATTTCGAGGATGCTCGATAGTTTTCGAGGACGCTCGATTGATTTCGAGGACGCTCGATAGTTTTCGAGGGTCCTCGATTGTTTTCGAGGACGCTCGATTGATTTCGAGGACGCTCGATTGATTTCGAGGATGCTCGATAGTTTTCGAGGACGCTCGATTGATTTTGAGGACGCTCGATTGATTTCGAGGACGCTCGATTGTTTTCGAAGACGCTCGATTGATTTCGAGGACGCTCGATTGATTTCGAGGACGCTCGATAGTTTTCGAGGACGCTCGATAGTTTTCGAGGACGCTCGATTGATTTCGAGGACGCTCGATTGTTTTCGAGGATGCTCGATTGATTTCGAGGACGCTCGATTGTTTTCGAGGACGCTCGAAAGTGTACGAGGACGCTCGATTGATTTCGAGGACGCTCGATAGTTTTCGAGGACGCTCGAAAGTGTACGAGGACGCTCGATTGATTTCGAGGACGCTCGATTGTTTTCGAGGACGCTCGATTGATTTCGAGGACGCTCGATTGTTTTCGAGGACGCTTGAAAGTGTACGAGGACGCTCGATTGATTTCGAGGACGCTCGATAGTTTTCGAGGACGCTCGATAGTTTTCGAGTATACTCGATTGTTTTCGAGGACGCTCGATTGATTTCGAGGACGCTCGATTGTTTTCGAGGACGCTCGATTGATTTCGAGGACGCTCGATTGTTTTCGAGGACGCTCAAAAGTGTACGAGGACGCTCGATTGATTTCGAGGACGCTCGATTGATTTCGAGGACGCTCGATTGTTTTCGAGGAAACCAGATTGATTTCGAGGACGCTCGATTGTTTTCGAGGGTCGTCGATTGTTTTCGAGGACGCTCGATTGATTTCGAGGACGCTCGATTGATTTCGAGGATGCTCGATAGTTTTCGAGGACGCTCGATTGATTTCGAGGACGCTCGATAGTTTTCGAGGGTCCTCGATTGTTTTCGAGGACGCTCGATTGATTTCGAGGACGCTCGATTGATTTCGAGGATGCTCGATAGTTTTCGAGGACGCTCGATTGATTTTGAGGACGCTCGATTGATTTCGAGGACGCTCGATTGTTTTCGAAGACGCTCGATTGATTTCGAGGACGCTCGATTGATTTCGAGGACGCTCGATAGTTTTCGAGGACGCTCGATAGTTTTCGAGGACGCTCGATTGATTTCGAGGACGCTCGATTGTTTTCGAGGATGCTCGATTGATTTCGAGGACGCTCGATTGTTTTCGAGGACGCTCGAAAGTGTACGAGGACGCTCGATTGATTTCGAGGACGCTCGATAGTTTTCGAGGACGCTCGAAAGTGTACGAGGACGCTCGATTGATTTCGAGGACGCTCGATTGTTTTCGAGGACGCTCGATTGATTTCGAGGACGCTCGATTGTTTTCGAGGACGCTTGAAAGTGTACGAGGACGCTCGATTGATTTCGAGGACGCTCGATAGTTTTCGAGGACGCTCGATAGTTTTCGAGTATACTCGATTGTTTTCGAGGACGCTCGATTGATTTCGAGGACGCTCGATTGTTTTCGAGGACGCTCGATTGATTTCGAGGACGCTCGATTGTTTTCGAGGACGCTCGAAAGTGTACGAGGACGCTCGATTGATTTCGAGGACGCTCGATAGTTTTCGAGGACGCTCGAAAGTGTACGAGGACGCTCGATTGATTTCGAGGACGCTCGATTGTTTTCGAGGACGCTCGATTGATTTCGAGGACGCTCGATTGATTTCGAGGACGCTCGATTGTTTTCGAGGACGCTTGAAAGTGTACGAGGACGCTCGATTGATTTCGAGGACGCTCGATTGTTTTCGAGGACGCTCTATAGTTTTCGAGTATACTCGATTGTTTTCGAGGACGCTCGATTGATTTCGAGGACGCTCGATTGTTTTCGAGGACGCTCGATAGTTTTCGAGTATACTCGATTGTTTTCGAGGACGCTCGATTGATTTCGAGGACGCTCGATTGTTTTCGAGGACGCTCGATTGATTTCGAGGACGCTCGATTGTTTTCGAGGACGCTCGAAAGTGTACGAGGACGCTCGATTGATTTCGAGGACGCTCGATAGTTTTCGAGGACGCTCGAAAGTGTACGAGGACGCTCGATTGATTTCGAGGACGCTCGATTGATTTCGTGGATGCTCGATAGTTTTCGAGGATGCTCGATTGATTTCGAGGACGCTCGATTGATTTCGAGGACGCTCGATGGTTTTCGAGGACGCTCGAAAGTGTACGAGGACGCTCGATTGATTTCGAGGACGCTCGATTGATTTCGTGGACGCTCGATAGTTTTCGAGGACGCTCGATTGTTTTCGAGGACGCTCGAAAGTGTACGAGGACGCTCGATTGATTTCGAGGACGCTCGATAGTTTTCGAGGACGCTCGAAAGTGTACGAGGACGCTCGATTGATTTCGAGGACGCTCGATTGATTTCGTGGACGCTCGATAGTTTTCGAGGATGCTCGATTGATTTCGAGGACGCTCGATTGATTTCGAGGACGCTCGAGAGTTTTCGAGGACGCTCGAAAGTGTACGAGGACGCTCGATTGATTTCGAGGACGCTCGATTGATTTCGTGGACGCTCGATAGTTTTCGAGGATGCTCGATTGATTTCGAGGACGCTCGATTGATTTCGAGGACGCTCGATTGATTTCGAGGACGTTTGATTGTTTTCGAGGACGCTCGATTGATTTCGAGGACGCTCGATTGTTTTCGAGGACGCTCGATAGTTTTCGAGGACGCTCGAAAGTGTACGAGGACGCTCGATTGATTTCGAGGACGCTCGATTGATTTCGAGGACGCTCGATAGTTTTCGAGGACGCTCGATTGATTTCGAGGACGCTCGATAGTCTTCGAGGATGCTCGAAAGTGTTCGAGGAGGCTCGATAGTTTTCGAGGACGCTCGATAGTCTTCGAGGATGCTCGAAAGTGTACAAGGCCGCCCGAAAGTGTTCGAGGACGCTCGATAGTTTTCGAGGATGCTCGATATTGGGCTATTCTATTGGGCCCCATCCGTGGTGGTCTGATGGCTGTTTGAGGTGCGCGCGGAAAGCGATGCGCCGTACATTCGGGTATACTGTGATATTTTATTATTTACCAACTTTTTATATAATAATAATAATATCATTAGCGCCTAATACCTACCAGGAATTAAATCATATAATTTTTTGGTATACAATAATGATAGTAATTCTGTTTGTAATATTAAAAAACCACTTTTTACCATATGCATATGAATATAAATTACATACGATGCACATAACAAAATAACATTTTTTACTATTTTTTTCTATCTGTCTGTCTGTTTGTTATCTGAAATAGCTGGACCGATTTTGACGGGAGTTTTATTGGCAGGTAGCTGATGTACCTACTAAGGATTAACATAGGCTACTTTTATTTTGGAAAATTGCCCACAGCTAGTATTTGAATAAAAATTAACTTTATTTACAGAGATTAAAGCGCGAAGTGGTGTGCTTGTTGATAAAAGAGCAGTTTATAGCTCAGGGCGACGCGCGAATCAGTATGAGTGATGTCTCCGGCAGGAAGAGAGACGATGTCTTCGGAACTCCTGTTGAAAACTCCGTTGCTATGAAGTAAGTAATTATAATTATCTATTTTTCTACTAGCTTTTACCCGCGGCTTCGCTCGCGTCAAAAGGATAAAAAGTAGCCCATGTGACATATACCAATACATACAGCGCCATCTGTACCAATACTTTTGTTTTCCCTCGGGAATATCACATTTTTCCGGGATAAAAAGTACCCTATTATTTAATCCAGACTTCTAACTTTACGTCTGCAAAAATTCAAAGCAATCGGTTTAGTAGTTACGGCGTGAAATCGGAACAAACAAACAAAGAAACTCACTTTCCGATTTATAATATTAGTAAGGATGATGAAGGAGAGATAAACGAATAGATGAGCCAGGTACGCTATTCTGTGGCTTTCAATTCAAAAGATCGTAGTGAACTCGATCGTCGGTCCGCCATATCATTGGTTGTGACTTGTGAGAATAATTTCGACCAAAGACGGGCGAGAATCCGATTGAGCTCACTTTGAAAGTTCGATTGAGAGTTACAAAATAGCGTAGCGCGTAGCTGATGATGTGAATCGAAATCGCCTATGGATAGTAGTCACCAATCCGTTACTTGCCTTTGAAAGGATATTTTTTAGATAATAACATAACATCACGCCTTTTATCCCCGAAGGGGATAGGGTGATAGGGGCCTATTGTCATGTACCAGACTCCGTGTTACTACTGGGATTTTTTTTAAAACCCAGTAATACTTTGCTCGACCCGGGAATCGAACCCGAGACGCCTTACCCGGTAGTCGCACTTGCGGTTGCGAGCACTCGGCCAACGAGGCAGTCTTTTTAGATAATATTTACAAAAAACTATATTTTTTCGATAGTGACGTCTCAGCTATTATCATTATGGCGGTTGGTGTTTTCACAGGAATTCAAAATGAATAAGATTTTATTTCGTTGTGTTCTGTGACTACTTAGCGATGTCATTTAAAAAAAAAACTACTTATAGTAAAACGACGTAGTCACAAACATGTTAACGTGCTTTTAAAAAATGACAAATCCCTTATACTTCTATTGGTCATTTAATTCATTAATTATTGTGTTTTTCGGCTTACGTAATTATTTGATAAGGAACTCGACTAGTTTCAAGCCATACTAGAGACTCATGTTCATGAGCAGCATTCCGCGATCCGCGACGCGGCATCTGTCGCGCAGCTGGTGCAGTCGAAAACGCAATAATTAATTTAGTATGAGCTAATACCTATTATTCGCAGTATTTCTAATCCCCCCTTTAACTATTTATTTCAGAATGATGAAAATGATGGGTTGGCAAGGAGGGGGGTTGGGTGCGGACGCGCAAGGCATAGCGGAACCCATCAAACCTAATTTGCAAATGGTACGTATGTGTTTAACGCGTCGAGCGTCCGCATTCCTTATGATCCAACGGATGCACACGTGACATTTGGAGAAAGAAAGAAAGACAATGCATTTATTTGGCCATTGGCACACGAAAACAAGGATCATTATAATAGATATAAAAAATACAGTCAAAATAAAAACAAAACATTAATAATAGATTTTATAAAAGAGAAAGCAGCATGGAGCATTTTTTCTTATGATCCACCGGGTGCTCATAAGGACGCGTTAATATTATCGTTATTTCGTGAGAACGCTCTAGGCACCTCATAAGCGCCCCTTATATTTTTGGCGCCGCCAGTACTCTATGGTAAGTTGGGCACGCGTCACGCAGCGCCTTTCTGATACCGGGCCCCCTTATTAGAGGACCCGGTGTCTCCTGCAGTTTTAGTTAGTTTACCCTTTGAGTACCGTCATTATAGACACAATTAAAGAACAATAGGTTACGGACATCGGTGTCCTCGCGGTGTTTGACAGTTTAAAAATCCCACACTTCATAGTCTTTCTCCCCAAAAGGTTAGGCGCCTTTTGAAGGTTCCCCTCATCATAAAAAAGACACTTGACTACTTTGCCTAAGGGGTTATACGACTCTGCATCCACTGCTGAATATAGACCTCTTCAATAGCATGCTATTGAACATGACCTTCAGTTCTTTGTATTCAACTACTGCTAACTAAATAGCAGACATTGAAAACAACATTTTTGTAGTGTGGTAGAGGGAATTAAACGAGCAGACAAATCACCACAGAGCTTACTCTTGAATTCAATTCCGATCAATCGACATTGGCATTGTGATATTTCGTACTTAATGGGTTGCCGGGGCTCCGGCTCGAAGTAAAAAGGCACATTGGTAATTTGGTACTTGCCGTTGATAGGTTTCGAACCCGCACCCTCATGCATGAGAAGTGGGCGTCTTAAACCTCCGGGCCACTACGACATATCGAAACATAACATAACGATATAATTTGTTAAATAAGTACCACAATATTTTAACTAACAGGTAGACAGAGCAGGCCTGGGCAGTGCTCAAGGTGTGAAAAATCTTCGTCGAGCAGCTCAAGCGTTAATGCAACGCTACATAGCATCAGACACGATTGATTTAGATCTCGTCTTTACAAGTGATTTCGCGAAACCGGAGCGAGCGACACTACATCAGGTGGCGCAGAGGATTGGGTTGGCCTCGAGGAGTTATGGGGAGGGAGATGAAAGGTATTGTATTTAATATTTAATACGTCATATTCATCATCATCATCAACAGCCGGAAGACGTCCACTGCTGGACAAAGGCCTCCCCCTTAGCCCTCCACGTCGAACGACAACTCGCCACCCGCATCCACTGGCTCCCCGTAACTCTGGCGATGTCGTCGGTCCACCTAGCGGGAGGTCTGCCCACGCTTCGTCTTCCGGTCCGTGGTCTCCACTCAAGGACCTTCCTGGCCCATCTGCCGTCAGTCCTTCGAGCGACGTGGCCTGCCCATTGCCACTTTAGTCTGCAGATTTTGCGAGCTATGTCGGTAACTCTTGTTCTTTGGCGAATTTCCATATTTCGGATTTTGTCGCGCAAAGAAACCCCGAGCATAGCTCTTTCCATCGCACGCTGAGCGACTTTGAGCTTCTCCAGAAGGCCAGAGGTCAGGGACCACGTCTCGGTACCATACGTCATCACCGGCAACACACACTAGTTGAACATCCTGGTCTTTAGGCACTGAGGGATTTTCGATGAGAAGATTTCGCGTAACTTCCCGAACGCTGCCCATCCAAGTTGGATTCTTCGGTTTCTCAAGTTGGACCCATTCAAGTTGGATTTAATACGTCATATTGCGTCACGCTTTTTATAACTGAAAAAGTAGGCAGAAGTGCTAATGACATAATCCTACTAATTTTATAAATTCGATAGTTGTGTGTGTGTGTGTGTGTGTTTGTTTGTTTGTTTGTTACTCTTTCAAGTCAATACGTCTGAAGGGATCGAGATGAAATTTTGAACAGGGGTTGATTATGATCGGGAATTACACATAGGCCACTTTTTTAAACTACACGAACGCGGGCCAAGTCACTGGCAGAAACTAGTTGCGAATAATGCGAAATGTACAAATTACATTATATCATTACTAGCTTTTACCCGCGGCTTCGCTCGCGTCACAAAAGGATAAAAAGTATCCTATGTGACTATCCATCCCCTCAACTACCTTCAGTTAAAAAATCAAATCGTTAATTAGTACCTCGTTAATTAGTACCTCCTTTCTGCCGTTTAAGACAGGCAAATAAACAAATAGCTTTCCGCTCGCGTGGAATTCGGTTAAATCGCGCTATTTAGGTTTCTCCAATTAGTAGGTAATTCGTTGACTGGTTTTAAATGACATACAGCGCCATCTATACCAATACACACAGCGCCATCTATACCAATATTTTTGTTTTCCCCCGGAAATATCAAATTTTTCCGGGATAAAAAGTACCCTATTATTAAATCCAGACTTTCAACTTTACGACTGCAAAATTTCAAAGCAATTGGTTTAGTAGTTACGGCGTGAAAGCGGAACAAACAAACAAACTCACTTTCCAATTTGTAATATAAGTAAGGATGTTATAAGTCTCTTGTAATAGAGGGTGAGCACTATACGGTGTAGTAATTCCATTTCCAGTGAAAACACAATATTACTTTGCTCGATCGGAACTGAACCCTATACTTATCTTTTGCTAGATATTTGCAGTCACCGCTCCATCCTTTATGCGAGCCACCTAATCTAGTAGTCGCACTTACAATAATTTCATCAATAAGACAGCCAAACCTGTGACATAATTATACCTAGTTTCCAAGCAGTCACCAGTGATGGCTCTCCAGTTACTCCATTATAGACCTTATAACCGATGTTCAGAGACTACTTTTGTATGAACATATGTTGTAGATTTTTGATAATCGTGAATTTTTTATGGCATAGCGGCCTATGCCATAAAAAATTACAGATACAGATACAGTATACGAGCAGATCACCTGATGATAAGCAATCGGTGCCGCCCATGGACACCTGGAACACCAGAGGCGTTACCAGCCTTTTGGGAATTGGGAATTTGAGGATTGTGGGCGATTCGGGGAGACTGAGGAGGGGGGGCCTCCGGTAACCTCACTCACACGACAAAACGCAACGCAAGCGTTGTTTCAAGTCGAATTTCTGTGACGATTAAGAAGTTAATGTAGATATTGTTTTTTTTTCAGATTCCTAGTTGTAAGAAAGAAGTTGGACCCATTCTCCTTAGTCCGTGCCGTTATCGAGAAAGGAGGTATCACGCCGAAGTACCAAGTGTTCTTACCAGAGAGTCTTATGCAGAATGCTATACGTTAACGTGAACATCATACATCATTCATCATTAGCTGGAAGATGTTCACTGCTGGACCAGGGCGCTCTAATTAGACGTTTCTTATTTTTATTTATTTATTGTATTTATAATAAGTACAGGATTATCCATGTAAAATAGCAACCAAAATCCACTAAGGTTTAAACATGTGCTATCATGAGTCAATCTCAAAATCGATTTTTTATAAAATGAGGTTTTACAAATATAACATAACATAACATCACGCCTTTTATCCCCGAAGGAGTAGGCAGAGGCGTACATTACGGCACTTAACGCCGCTGTGCAATGTAACACCCACTTTTCAATTTTTATGTTAAGAGTCCCATGTAATAGGAGGTGAAATTCATCATCATTTGACAAATATATACGTTAATGATCTAACAATATAAACAACCTAGGATTAACAAACACATTCCTAAATAATACTCATGTAATATTGCTTTACATATAAGACTATAGTCCACATACATCCAATGGTTGCTATTTGCCATAACTTTTGGTGTACATAATATAAAACTGCGTTATAATTTTATTTCCTACTACCGGATTCCGCGAACTTTGTTTCGCATTGGATTTTTTTCTGCGCATCTCTGTAATTTTTTTCGTACAGTTAAAAGGTATTAAAAAAGTTATCGAAATCGGTTCAGCTGTTCTCGAGATTTGGACGTACGAACATTTTATATTTAGTGATTAATTTAACAGTATTTTTTATATCATAGAAAATACTGTTATTAGACATTTCTTTTTTAAAAAAAAGGTTTCTAGACAGTATTTGCATTAGCAAATGATTGAATCTTATCATGATGAGATAGTATTTTTCGTCATTTTTGGTAACTTTGATTATGTACCTTAGCACCTTATTCGTAAGTAACATTATTGAATATAATTATGTGAATGGATAGGTAATCGGTCCATTTAGTGGGGGAAGTCTTCCAGTTGATGGAAGCCATTGAAGAATCAGTGATCAGTGATCATATCATTTAGACATTAATTATTTTTACCATAAATTATGTTGTAAGAAAGATACTTAATAAAAATTAAGCAAAGACAGATTTTTTAGTGAAACTCACCCTTGGTATGAATATTGTGATTTTGTACAACTGTCTCCATCATATCTTTGTGAGCGAAGTATGAGACTGGATTCCTACCGACATACTCTATGTATACCATAACATAATAATTATCTTTTCGCCTTATCGCCTTTTATCCCTGAAGGGCTAGTTAGAGGCGCACATTATGGCACTTAATGCCACATAGTACATATTACACCCACTTTTCACCATTTATGTTATGAGTCCCATGTAATAGGGGGTGAGCCAATTGCCATATACCGAGCACATTTCCAGACTCCGTGTGACTACTAAGATTTTTAAAAAACATAGTAATAGTTTGCCCGACCCGGGATTCGACCCGAGACCCCTTGCCCGGCAGTCGCACTTGCGACCACTCTGCCAATGAGGCAGTCTCTGTATGTGATGTGATTAATGTGATTGGGTTATTGTTATTATCTTCTTATAGTTACCACAAGGCGTGCTGTCATTTTGTTTATTCTTTATTCAATGGAATAGAATAAATGACGTCATCGACTTTTCAGATGTTTTTCTAACTAGTTAAGTTATATAATGATAGGTAGTCGTGAATTCGTGATTGAGCAGATATCCGAAATAAAAAACATTTTTTCTTTAACAAACATTTTTTTGTTTATAATACCTTTATTTAACATAAAAATATTACATTCATTAATACACAGACACGGTAAGTTTAGAAGAATCATGGTACAAATAAGTATGACCATGCAGGGTAAGTCAAGTCAAGTTAAAATCATTTATTTCAATTAAACCAGGAAGGTAATGAAGTAATCAAGTATTTATTGCATCCATAATGTACATATACAGGTTGTTAAAATACAATTAGTAACAATTACGGACCCTGTCGGGCACAGCAACATTGAAAATTGGTAAGAGAGAGAAGGCACTTTTGTACGTCAACAACAAAATTTATAAGTAAAGCTAGTTGTCATTCCAAGGTGTAGATTTCTATGGAGAAGAACGAGCAAGAAACTCATAGGTTCTTCAATCGGGTTTACAATTACAATACAATTCTCTAGCTACATAGTTTAGTTGGTTCTCACACAATGTGAGATCAATGCAACATCTAAATCCAGTCAAAGAGATTGAAAAAGAAAACAACCTTAAGGACAATAAGATCACACAGTCTGGATCTAGTCTAGGTAAAACGACCGAAAATCCAATCAATATAATAAGCAATCGGCGTCGCCCAGAACACCAGAGGCGTTACAAGTGTGTTACCGACCTTTTGGGGATTAGGAGTTTGAGGATCGTTGGGGATGCAGGAATTGGGGAGATTAGGGAAGGGGAGGGTAATTGTGCCTCCGGTAACCTCACTCACACGACGAAACACAACGCAAGCGTTGCTTCACGTCGGTTTCCTGTGAGGCCTCGATATCACTCCGGTCGAGCCGGCCCATTCGTGCCGAAGCATGGCTCTCCCACAATTTGTTCATACAAAAGTAGTCTCTAAACATTAGAAATAAGGTCTATAAAGCAGTGACTGGGAAATTGGGAATTGACCAGGTACATATATAAAGTCTTTAAACACATTTTTTCTTTACAATATAGGGACAAATCACCGTTAGGTACACAAATAATCTGGTAAATTAACAATTACGCGTCGTTTTGAACCAGACTCACTTTATAACAATCTTAAACATATCATTTTGTCTATTATTTCTCTATTTCCCAAAGGTGATAAAGAGATTTATTTTAGTACAGACGGCAACAAATCTATTTTCAATTTTATCATAGTGTTATGATTGAAAATGTATGTGCAATATGAACTTCTTATCGACTTGATGAAGGAAATTCCAAGCCTGTCGCGGAGAACCTAACGGGTAACCGGGGCTCCGGCTCGACGTGCAGGAGAAGGAACGGGGTGGTCTTTAGTCAGTAAGAGTCTGACACTCCCTCCCGCCTCACCCAGGAGGGAGCAGTTATTCGATGATATTCGTCCCTTAAAAAAAAAGATGTCTAATACTGCTTACCACTTGTGACACCACAGCAGGTTTCAAAGGGCCGAGAACTGAGAAAAGAATCGACTGCATAGAGTTTAGAGGACAAGGCAGGGCCTAGTACGAATTTGTTTTACATTTAACAAGATCGAGACGTTACAGTACAGCATTTAGCTCTCCGATTGGCTGGTACATAGGAGCCGGCCAATCAGCGCCGCCCTCAGGTGAGCAATCAGCGGGATCTCCGTTCTCAGCGCCTATAGAAGACCTCGATACCTCGATACAGAAGACCTGTGAATAGATGTCGAGAAATTATTCTAGTATCTATTCATGGAATTTTATTCACCCCATTTTACCACATCCGATGTTTCTCAAGAGAGGTCCCAATACCGAGCCCTGTGGAACACCACACAACTGTCTGTTCTGTACCTACCCACTCACTATATAGATAAAGATCTAACCCGCATAATCAATTTGAAGATATCATCTATTCTATTTATTATTCAGCTAACGTAAATTGACATTTATCTGATCCCTAAAATACGGGATCAATCGAAAAGTTTCAGTATATAAAACGAAGAAAAATCTTACCTGCCATCACACAGTTTTCAATTTTACCGCGAAACACAAAACGTCAAAAACCTGCCATTTTCTTTTCTTTTTTTAAAAATGAATTCAAAGTTAGTATCAGTTTTATTGGCATACTGCCTATTCTACTATTTGAGCGGGGCTGAAGGTTCGTTTATAAAACCTAATAATGTGCCAAGGGTTGGTAGAAGTAACGAAGAAATGAACCCGTTTGACCAAGGATCTATGGGTTACGTTATCAAAACGAATAAGAATATACCACGCATGGGCAGAAGGAATTTCGACTCGGTAAGTCAACTATTTTTTTATTATTACAACATCTTTTTTATTTAATATTTCATGCAGATCTATCGGCATTAGGTACACAAAAATATTTTTGTATTGTCCGACAACGTGGTTTTGGAGTCGATCCCTAAGTGGATAAATTGCTTTTGGCCTGCTAATTTACCCTTAAACTGGTCATATATAGAGTTTCTAATGTATTTTGAGCAAATGTTTATCAATTATTTTCAGGAAAACCGCTATGACATACCTAAGTTTTATCAGCTTCCTTCAGAAAAGTTTGATGTTTATGAAGGTAAGCAATAATAAAACTTTTACCAAATTTTCTTAGCAGATAGTTTAGCTTAATAACGAATATTTATGCCTAACAAATTATTATTCTTCAGGTGAACAACAAGAATATAATCAAATTCCGATAGAAGCCTTCTATCCCAAACAAATGGAAAACCTAAGACGATAATTTAAGACGAAAATTAACGTGAAATAGTATAGATTGTCAAGTTTTGAGCTGCTTGTTTTAGTTGTAGTTAAGTTGAATAAATAAAAAATACATTTTAGCATGCATGGAAACTTCTTGTTTTAATTTTATTTTTTCCGCATGTGCATATTACACGTAGTCCGGAACGTATATTACCTGTCAAAGTCAAATGATATAACCCGACCGTATAGAAGATATCTGTCAAGTTGCTTTTTCTCTTTCGTGCACGTGTAAATTCAAATCTTTTCTCTCTTTTTAACCCCAATCCGAGTACTATATCAATAATTCGGTTTATTCTCCAATTTCTTCCACGAATTATTGTGGAAGAAATTTTTCTATTTATTTTGAAATTTAACATCTAAATTACTTGTGTGTATTTGAATTAAACAAAATGGTGTTGACTGCGGACGTTCATCTTCCTGAAGAGTCGGAATTGACGGTTTCTGAGCTGCAATTATCATCACCAGCTCTGTTCGCTGGTTCTTTTCATTTAGGAAAATATTGTGAACAAGCTAATAATGTGAGTAAAATTATTATTTTATTTATTAATAGTACGGTTTTGTGTTAATCCTGTATTGATACTGATTTCTTGTTATTGAGAGTTAAATTGATTGCATAATCAAAAATGTGTAGAGGTTATGTTATGATAGATTCCAGGTCAATATAATTATTTTTGTAGATCCAGAAAATAGTCTACAATCGAATGGCTTAAACGTAAAATTAAAAAATAAAATTGTCTATATACAGTTACATTTATAAACATAACTTTTTTAATGTTTATTCTATTTCTTCAATAATGTAGGTAATAAGTTAGAGTACTTGTTCCATTGTCAAAATTGGTATTACTTGTAACATTGTAACATTGATAGTTATTCCTCTGATAAAATTTAATTGCAATGAAATTGCATTGAAAAATCGGCCCTCAGTGACTTGTTTTCTTTAATTATGAACTTTCTTCCTTAATGAGTTATAATATTGACTAATAATTTTAGCAATCATTTTTATTATTCTTGTAAGGTTAACATTTTAGTTATTTTAATCTGCATATTTACTGCAATGGATAAGACTCTTTTACTTAGATTACATACATTACAAGTCAAACCCCCTGTGTAGTTAAATATCGCACCATCTCTGTAATTTTACACAGTCAAAGCATTTATTTCAATTAAGCCTCAATTAGGCGCTTTTGAAATGTCAAAAATTGAATTGTACATCCAATTGATTTGATCCCGTCCGATGAAAAAAATTGTACTGACTGAACTATAATTGAGCACAATTTAACCTGTTGAAATTCATCCCCTAAATTTGTTCATACAAAAGTAGCCCATAAATATTAGAAATAAGGTCTATAATGTGGTTAGTGGATAGCGGTCACCGGTGACCGCTTGGGGATATTTGTTGTGCTCATTTATTGCAATGGATAAGATTTTTTTACTTTGCTTACATACAATAAGTCAAACTCCCGAAAACCGAAAGGCTCCTCAATTTTAACTGGTACTTAAATATCGTGCCATCTCTGTCATTTTACAAAGAATTTGTAGAGACAGAACTATATGTACAACTCAATATTCGCATTCGGGCATTAGTCTACGCTGGGTATGACAATAAAAATATTTTACATATAGACTCGTGACTACTAAATATTTTAAAGCTACTATCATCTTTTTAAAGCTACTTCACAACAGTGGGATGTACTTGGTAGTTTTCAGAGTCAGTTTACCAATCTATAGATGAATAAAATGACTAGATGTTGGTAAAGTTACCCCTGAATCATCTCTTTCAGGATAATCTAACGTTTGACAGAAAAAAATTAAGTGTAAAATATACCAAGATTGAAATGACATTAGGGATGATGACAGGGGATGATGGTAATGAAAAAATATTAGACACATATTTTTTTATTTTGTTGTATAATAAAATGATACTTAGATATAACGAATCAAAGTTTAGGCAATCCTAAACTTTCTAAAACATCATTTCTACATATAAAATGTACATAGAAGTGATGTCACGCGACATTTCAAATCAATATATCTTCACAACTATTCGTTTCCGTGAAAAAAATTAAAATACGTGTCTAATGTTTTTAAATAAACCACCAGGCGGACATTAAAAATAAAAATTAGTCATCTACCCTTTTGTAGTATAACTACTAACTGGTATAGTTCATTTTATAATGGGTTTATTTCAATAAATTAAAAATGTATGAGTGTTTTGTATGAGTAACCATAACTAGTTTTGCTATCAAATTCCAGGAGTTCATGCTCTGTCGCTTGGAGGAGAATGATCCTCGCAAATGTCTGAATGAAGGCAAAGCAGTCACCGCTTGCACTATGGACTTCTTCCGCAAAGTGAAGAAGTCTTGCCTGCAGGAGTTCAACCAGTATGCTAACTGCATTGACAAGAGTTCCGGAGACTTCTCCTTGAAGCAGTAAGTTTTTCAATTAAAAGACTAGTTATCTAGTAGTTTCACTCCTTTCTCTAGCACTAGCGTAGCTTAAAGTTGTGGGCGCTACTAGCCATATACCGTGTCGCGGAGAACCTAACGGGTAACCGGGGCTCCGGCTCAACGTGCAGGAGAAGGAACGGGGTGGTTTTTAGTCAGTAAGAGTCTGACACTCCCTTCCGCCTCACCCAGGCGGGAGCAGTCATTCGATGATTTTCCCCCCTTAAAAAAAAAGCCATATACCGTGGTGACGGTGCGGTGTTTTTGTCAGTAAGAGTCTGACCCTCCATTTCGGCTCACCTATACCGCTATACAAGGAATTATTTGATGACTAGCGACCCGGCCCGGCTTCGCACGGGTGCAATATGCATGTATTATACATATAAACCTTCATTAAGAATCACTCTATTAAAACATACCTCATCAAAATCCGTTGCGTAGTTTTAAAGATCTAAGCATACATAGGGACAGACAGACGGCGGATAGCGACTTTGTTTTATACTATGTAGTGATATTCAATCCTCAAAAAAAAGATCTGTTAACCAATAGGGTAATTTCTTAAATTTTATTTCACTGTCCACCTGATAGATTATGGTAGACATCGTACTTTTTCTTTTCTTACAAAATAAATTACCGTCGACGATATATTGCTTTGAAACATCGTGTGACGTCACGATCTCCGACTCTTACTAATATGACAACATTAAAAATCTGTGTCTAATCTCCATACAATATTAACCCGTTGAAAATCATCCCCTACATTAATTGTTCATACAAAAGTATTCTCTAAACATTGCAAATAAGGTCTATAATGTAGTTAGTGGAGAGTGGTCACCGGTGGGTCACTTTGGGGATATATGGGTTAAGTGATATGATGTCACATATAAAATATGTATATGTGACAAATGTCACACGTGGCAGGTCCAAATGGAGATGGCGGGACGAATTAGACATCTATGACAAGGATTGATCGCAAAAAGCTTTACATAGAGAGGAATGGAAGGAGGGTAGGGGTGCCTTTGCCCTGCAGTGGGACGACCATGGCTGAAAATAAATAATGATGTCACATCATATTATACATCAGGTGTATCAGCGTATCACGAGATCCATCTGCTTGTTTAGAACCTATCGGGTGTATCAGGTGATCCACTTACTCGATTGGCACTCTTTACCCTATTCAATAAAAAAAAAACTAAACCCATTGTTTCAGGCAATCACCAGAGATTAAACTATTTGGAACCGTTTAACCCTTTAAGTATCGTCATTATAGACACAATTAAAGAACAATAGGTTGCGGTCACCGGTGTCCTCGCGGTGTTTGACAGTTGAAATTGAAATATTTGCCGTACATTTCCAGATGCCGCACCACCCAGAATGTGTTTGACAAGTGCGTGCTAGACAAGATGAACATTGAACGCCCAGGATTCGGATACTTCTGCGAGGCCCGCGTCCATGATACTAAGAGGTATGTCATCGTAGTATCCTACCTATTCTACTAACATTTATAGTTAGGAGCCGTCCATAAATTACGTCACACGTTAAGGGGTAGGGAGGGGGTTGACGAAGTGTGACGTAGTGTGACAAGGGGGAGGGATGGATCCTATACTTTGTGATGTCACATTTCAAAAACTAATATAAAACACGAAATATAATTGTAAGTATTAATGTTTTTTATTTTGCTTGGTTTGGTATTAATTTTTTTTTTAAGTAATTTAAATAGAAATAAAACTGATTTCGGAACCGCTGTTTTCATTCAATAATTTTTATACATAGTTACGTAATTCTGCAAAATGTGGCGTCACACTTGGGCCTCACAAATGTGATTAGCTGTGGACAAGGACGGGGGAGGGGCAAAAAATCATGAAATTCGATCGACGATTACGATTACGATTTGATTATCGATTACGAATCGTGTGACGTAATTTATGGATGACCCCTTACCTTCTGCGCGGTGTACCCCTTACCCGCTGCTTCACTGCTATTGGTCGTAGCATGATTTTTTATAGCCTATAGCCGACTTCGATAAATGTGCTATCCAACACAAAAATAGTTTTTCAATTCAGAAATACAGTTCCGGAGATAACTGCGTGCTAAATAAACTTTGCGTTTTAGTTGTCCAACGACCGCTACGCAACATGTTGCGGTTTCGATTCCCGAGCAACTCTCTGTAGTCTCTGTGTGAGTCGCGGAGAACCTAACGGGTTACCGGGGCTCCGGCTCGACGTGCAGGAGAAGGAACGGGGTGGTTTTTATTCAGTAATAGTCTGACACTCCGTCCCGCCTCAGCCAGGCGGGAGCAGTCATTCGATGATTTTCCCCGCTTAAAAAAAGTCTGTGTGAACCATAAATTGTTGTTCCGGGTCGGCAATGTGATGTTTTATATGAAGTTAATACTTGTTAACGCACCCACAAGATTTAAAGCTTTTTTCTATTTCAATTACAGGCCAAAGCCTCTGGAAGAACCGAAGGCAGTCTACCCAGACGCCACTCCAGCGCTACCAGAGAACTTCGAGAAGAAACCAGCGAGATTCGGCTCACGATTCTACTGGATGACCGAATAAACGACAACAGTCGTGCAATAAGACCAAAAGGCTGTAGTTACGTGTCGAAAAAAATGGAACATAAAATTGGCGGGAACTATTTTCATGATGTGTATAGGAAAATCAACTTTATTCTGGAGAACATAAAGCATGTATTTGTATACCGTTACGTCTAGTACGGTGTCTTCATTTAGAACGCTTTTGTTTTTTTAAATACGTTCCATTTTCACGTTTTTCGCACACAACCTCAGTCTTGGAGTAATGCGTTGGATGAGTTTTGTAATTCAACATTTTAATTTTTTCTTTATAATGTTATTACCTATATGTTTAATTTATAAGCTAACAGTGTCAGATCGAAATCATGATATAAAATACAAAAACTTGTCTAGTGTTTTACTTTGTCAAACAAATAGCTATTATTGATTTGTAGAGTAATAAATGTTGGAATTTATTTCTTGTTTAACTGAATGTCCTTTTTTTAAATATAACTGTTATAAAAGCAATTGACATAGGTATTCATCTCTAAAATCTCACCCAGAAAATTATTCTTTTCTACCTCTGATTCCTACCTATTAATGAGTAGGTAGGTAATACACTCAAGCGAATCTTTAGGAAATACATTTTATAGTCTAGTGACCTATACTGAAATGCAAAGACAATTTTAAGTTGGATCAATATATAATATCGTTATTGAAGAATGTTTAGAGATTTCTATCTCTAAACATTCTTTATAATATATAGAAATAAGGAATATACGTAAGTAAGAGTGTCAGTAAGTTAAATTGAAAACAATGATTGAAGACAGATTTAGCCCGAAGAATGCAAGCGTGGTGATTAATGCTCAAACCTTCTCCGTGTGAGAAGAGACTTTGCTCAGTAAGCATTTATAGGCTGTTGATGATGATTGATAATCATTAATAATCTACCTGAAGAGAAGATACTGCTTGATTTGGAATTTAATTACAATACGTCAAATAAACGTCAATGTCAACAACATATTGTTGTTGACATTGACACCTAAGCATGAATGGCAGGTGCCGCGTTTCAGGTTACGGCGTAACGTTATTGTGGTTATTTGCATCTTGTCTCTTTCCATCATAGAGATTGTTATTATTGCTGTCTCCCTCTGACATGTTATTTTCGGATCTTTCGATTACGAAATGAATGAAGTTATTACAAACCTTGAATCTTGAAACGCACGGATGATTGTCATTGAATCGAGTTGTGAGTGGACATGACTGATTGAATCAATAATAATTGTTAAAAATAAACATTAAAACCACATTACTACGTAAAAATATCTAAACTCTTCATATCACAGTCTTTGTTTATCGTAAAATCGTATAAACATTGAAAATTACATAGAAATAATGTGAAAAACGCGCGATTCGCGTTTAATTACAGTAGCCCAAACAAATCTAAGATATCTCGTTTTATTGATAAATAATGAGCGGTTTTTATAATGAGCAGGATTTTTACGCCAATACCTATAGCTTGTGGGGAAACTCGAAATATTATGACATAAAAAACCTGTCGCCGCAAAATTTTGCCAATCGGAATGGTACAATTGGAAGTGAGTTAGGGCAGGAGTTTCGGGCTACGCGATGGGTGCCGGAAAAGGAAGTGAAGAAACCTCCTCCGGATTATTTCGACCGGCGTACTATTACCCGGGAGTCCTTATACCAAGATCCGGATAAAAATAAGAAAATAAAGTAAGTTTTTTATATTGTTTATCTTCTTGGTACTGTATAGTGGCGACTGACGACAGGATTGAATAAATGTATTGTCCCTTGAGATTGTCTAGTCTGCAATTGAGTTGTCTTGAGTATCCTTTGAAAAGCAGATCAAGGGATTGGACATTTAACAGAGACCCAGCTACTAAACTCTCTGATACCCCTGAACTTTTTTAACTGCGATATCCACCTACCTGCCAATTGTAGGGCTTACCTATAGTCCTCTTTCGATAAACTCCTTTTGTGTAGAGCAGACAGAAGACTCTAGTCCAGCCCTGACTGTCATGGGCTGTTCATAATTATGATGTTTTTCTTAAAGAATTATTGTAATTGATTTTTGTTATTCAATATTTAAAATTGTGTGTGAATCTTTGTAATGCGTTTTAAATCTTTGTAAAATTGCCATGGTTACCCAGAGGTTAAGACGACCGCTTCTCATGTTCATACATGAGAAGCGGTCGTCTAGAACCCGCAGGTTCGAATTCTACCAATGTGACTTTTTCCGAGTTAAATGTACTTTCTAAGATTATTTAGACACCACTGAAAAAGAGTGTAGGAAAACATGGTGAGGAAACCTGAACTTATAATTTCTAATTACAATTTTGAAATCACCAACTGCCATTGAGCAAGCATAGTAATTAATGCTCAAACCTTCTCTGTATGAGAAGAAGCTTTGCTTAGCAGTGGGCACTTATAGGCTGTTGATGATGATGTGAACCTTTGTGATAGTTTAAACTGTCAAACACCGCAAGGACACCGGTGAACACAACCTATTGTTCTTTAATTGTGTCTATAATGACGGTACTCAAAGAGTTAAGGAATTTTATTTAATTATTTTAAGGTTTATGCTTTTTTTAGTTCATTGAAGCAGAGTTGCGAATCCTTTCTAGCAAAATCAGTTGCTTTCCAGTGTAGCTGGGTGTGGTCTGTATGTGAAAATGTTTATAAATGCAACTATGAGTTATTTTATATAAAATTATATAATAAAAGTAATGTAATATAATATCCCGCCTTTTATCATTGCATATTATAGCTCTTAATGCCACTGTACAATGTAACACCCACTTCTCACTAACTATTTATGTTATGAGTCCCATGTTATAGGGGGTGAGCCTATGGCCATATACCGGGCATAATTACAGGTTCCGTGCTACTACTGGGATTTTTAAAACTCAATAATACTTAGCTTTGAAGACCCCTTGGCCTGGTAGTTGCACTTGCGACCACTCGTCCAAAAGAGATTGTATTAAATTACCATTTTCAATGATCTGCAGAGAAGACACTTGCAAAAAGTGGAGTCCAGCCATTGACTGGACCTTGGGTTACTGGGAAAAACCTGACTGGGTGAATCAGGATGAAAAGCAGCCAGGCTCCAGTCTAAGCAAGAAGCAGGTGCTAGACGGGGCTAAGATACAGAAGAAACTGGCTGACATGCTCTCTAAACCAGTCAAGATGAGCAAGGCTGAGAGGTAAGAGGGTGTATTTATATATGTTTTATGGGTTATGGTGACAAACTTGCAGACGGATCGACTGATGATAAGCAATCGGTATCGCCCGCAACTTCAGAAGAGTTACAAGTGCATTGCCAGTCTTTTATGGAGTAGTTGACCCCACAGTCAAACCATTGCAACGGTTTTGTGGAGCTTAGATTAAGGGTCGAGACACATAACCGCGTTGCGATGCCGCAATGCTAAAATCGGCAGTTTGCGTTGCGGCGTTGCGGCGTCATGAAAAAGAGCGTTTTGTTGTCGTTCGGTAGGGTAATCAGTTCGTCGTGATTTTTTATTGTGGATAGACGTGTCTCTGCCATGGACTATCGTTAAAAACTTATTGCTTATTTGTTATTAAGAAGACATTACTCTGCTATGCTGGAACGAGCGCAAACTGCCGCAACGCAAACTGCCAAATTTTAGCGTTGCGGCGACGCAATGCGGTTATGTGTTTCGGCCCTAATGTTTAGTTTTGTGAAATAAAGATTACAAAAAGGTAAATTCTTTCCTTGGTTGTTTTTATTTTATGTTTGATGGCCCGACCGACATTTGACCACTATCTCGCCTGGTGGTAAGGGATGAACCTTCGTGAAAAGCACATTGTTGAAGACTGCCATATTGAGTTCCCAAGCCCATTTGGCATGGGTACATGGTGGCAATGTTGTTTATTTTTTTATTATTTTCTATATCATTTTTGTTGTTGACTTTTATTGTTTTTATTCGTTTCACCACACTTCTTGTATTTGTGTATGGTGCATCATGCCTAATGGCGAATAAATTATTTTTCTTTCTTTCCATTTCACATTTCTTAGCCTAAGTAAAAAATCCAGTACTTAAGTTCACCTCTGCCTTTTTTTTGAGGGGGGAAAAATCATCCAATGATTTCTCCCGCCTGGGTGAGTCGGGAGGGAGTGTCAGACTCTTACTGACTAAAAACCACCCCGTTCCTACTCCTGCACTTCGAACCGGAGCCCCTGTAACCCGTTTAGTACTCCGCGGCTCCGTATCGGCATCAGCTCTATTGGGCCCCATTTCTGGTGATTGGGCCCCATCTGTGGTGAAATTCACCTCTGTTTACCGTGTTAATATGTATGACGTTATTTGTTTTCTGTTACAGCATGATGCAGAAGATGGGTTGGCAAGGAGGCGCTCTGGGACGGAGTGGAGATGGTATCGTGGAGCCCATTGCACCAAATGCTGTCTATGTAAGTAATATTTTCCCTTATTGATTTTTTTCTTTTAAGGGGGAAAATCATCCAATGGCTTCTATAGCCTGGGTGAAGCGAGAGGAAGTGTCAGACTCTTACTGACTAAAAATCACTCCGTTCCTATTCCTCCACTTCGAGCCGGAGCCCCGGCAACCCGTTAAGTCCTCCGCGACTCCGTATCAGCGTCAGCCCTATTGGGCCCCATCTGTGGTGGATGATGGTTCTTTGAGACGCGCGCGTCTCTTATTGAATGGATTGATATTTGTCCACTAACTCGCCTGATGGTAAGCGATGATGCGGACTACAATGAGTCAATCCTGTCTATATAAAAGCCTTAAGGAAACACAGACTTTGGTAAAAGATTCCATTCCGTAGTGATACTTGTAAAGAAACTATAGGATGAGATCTTCGGTCTCTTAAAACCCTAAAATATATGGCAATCCGGAATTCTCACATTATATGAAGTTTCCGAGTTGATTAAACTATATACTTGTTGTAATATGGCTAAACCCGTGGTATGCCGGAACGTAGATCTACGCGATACATAATGGTGTTTTCTATTGCGTCTTATATACCGGCAGTCAAGAGGTTAAACCTCGGATCAAAACGAGCCTCACTGAAAACGTCATAACTATTTATTACTAGCTGACCGTGCAAAGTTCGTACCGCCTAAAACTTTTTTCTCACATTTTAAACCTTTCCTGGACTTTCACGAACATTTGAAGACCGAAATTAGCCAAATCGATTCACCCGTTCTCGAGTTTTAGCGAGACTAACGAACGGAAATTCATTTTATTCATATACTAGCTTCTGCCCGCGACTTCGTATATGCAATCCCGTTTTCTCCCGTTCCCGTAAGATTTTCAGGATTTTTTCTGTCTTAAGAACCCTCTTCTAATAATAACAAATATAACAAAAAAAGAATTAGTGAAATCTGTCCAGCCATTCACGCGTGATGCCGTGACCAAGGGAAAAAGGGATTATATTATTAAAGATAGATTACGAACCCCACTGAAATTCTAACAACAATCCATTTTAAGTAAAATCGCGGGTTACTCACGTGAATATACTAAGAAAAGCTCTACTAGTTTCGAATCAGTTAGCTGCGCTACGTTGCCGCGACCGCGCACGCTGCTCATGAGGAAGAACCCCTCTGTGGTTCGAAACTAGTAGAGCTTTTCTCAGTATATTCACGTGAGTAACCCGCGATTTTACTTAATTTAGTATGTCTCACGATAGTTATCATAAAAACATAACAATCCATTTGTTCCAGTCATCAAACAAAGTCGGTTTCGGTCAACTCCAACACATAAAGCCACCAGAACCAAAGCCGGGTGAAAAGAAGCAATATTTCGAAACAAACGTGCTCCACATAGTATACGAATTTGTAAAAAATAATAACGAAATAGAGCTACTTTTCGATAGAAAATTGAGGAGAGAAGAACGGAAAAGGATTCACAATATTGTGCAGCTCAAATTACAAGCTGATGATTTGACGACTGTGGATTTCGATACCACGGCTCAAGTGGAGCTGGTACTCCAAATAAACAATCATAATTGCTATATGCTGCATACGAAAAGCTACGGTACATTTCCTGAACGGTGAGTTATTTTTAACTTTTGGTTTAAGGTGGTGAAATGAAATGAAAAGAGGCATACGGCATACGGCATGAATGCAAGGAACAAAAAATAACAATACAATACAATTTGATAAAATGATAATATAAAAGTTTAATTAATTAACACAAGAGAGTTTGAATAAAAAGATAAAAGCTGAATTATAAAACTAGAAGATAATAATAATGTGGGTTTTGTTCTTTGTTGAAGGTGTGTCTAGTGGGTCCTGAACTATTGTGTTTGTTATTTTTTATTTTATATACATACATACATACATACATAACATCACGCCTTTTATCCCCAAAGGGGTAGGCAGAGGTGCACATTATGCCACTGTACAATGTAACACCCACTTTTCACTTGTTATGAGTCCCATGTAATAGGGAGTGAGCCTATTGCCATATACCGGGCACAATTCCAGACTCCGTGCTACTACTGAGATTTTTTTAAAAACCCAGTAATACTTTGCCCGACCCGGGAATCGAACCCGAGACCCCTTGCCCGGCAGTCGCACTTGCGACCACTCGGCCAACGAAGCAGCCATTTTATATACATTTTTGATCGAAATTTAAGACCGATCTCATTCCAAAGTCTGTAGAACAATATTATTTTTTACGCAATCAAAGATTTTTAAATTATCTCTGTTCCTAATTTCGACCGCTTTCATCATTTATAATATATACCTACCATCATCGTTTATAAAGATTTTTAGCCTTCAACTTCTTCTGCCTTCTAAAAGACGGTCTTTTCCGTATTTTTGCAGCCAATTATGCCTGTTCAAAGTAGCGCCTGATCACGTATATCTAGTTACGCCACATCAACTTAGACATTCGAAAGAAAGAGATATCGAAGATGAACTGCTAGAAGTAGACTGTACAGAAGAGATTGTACCTGAACCTCAAGTAAACCAAGTCGAGAAACTTCCAGAAGTAAAAAAACCAGAAGAATTAGAACCGGAGGAAACAAATCCATTCCTAATAAGCATTACGAGGAATTTAAAGAAAAATTCTGAATCGGAAAGTAAAGAAGATACGGAAAATCCGGAAATTCCGGAAATACCGGAAAATCCGAAAATTCCGGAAGTCCCGAAAATTCCAGAAGCGGAGAAGAAACCGGAAAAGCCCGTTGTTCCGGAAATGTCGGAGATAATGAAATTAATAGTGGAATGTTATATGGAGTTTAAGGGGAGGAAGAAATTTTCGCAGTTTAAGTTTATGGGGCCTTTTGATGAGGCACAGACAGACGCTGTTAATGAGTTTATGCAGCAAGCGACGATGTATCTAAATAAAGAACCGTGCACGCTCGCCAGCGTGTTTGAAAACGTGGAATTTAAGATAAAGGAAGATTGCACGGGAAACGCAGGGTGAGCACCTTTTTATAACATATATAACTTAACATCACGCCTTTTATTCCCGAAGGGGTAAGCAGAGGTGCACATTATGACACTGTATCTACAATGTAACACCCACTTTTCACTATTTATGATAGGAGTCCCATGTAATAGGGGGTGAGCCTATTGCCATATATCGGGCACAATTCCATACTCCGTGCTACTACTGATTTTTTTTTAAATCCACTAATAATTTGCCCGACCCAGGAATCGAACCCTTTTATTTTATAGTTAAACACTTAAACGCCATGGGGTGGGGGTCACCGCTGATCGACGTTAGCGATTTACCTATAACAGTTTTCTATTGCCAGTCAAAGCCTTAACTAACTTTATCCTCTCGTTGGGGATTTGGGGTACTATTCTCAGGCAAACAAAGAGTTTTGAACGTGGAGTTTTTTATTTTTTTTATGTAATAATACTAATTATCCGGTGGGACGGATCACCTGATGGTAAGCAATCGGCGCCACCCATGGACACCCGTAACTCCAGAAGTGATACAAATGCGTTACCGGCCTTTTGAGGATTGTTTGGGATTCGGGGATTGGGCCACCGGTAACTTCACTCACATGACGAAACACAACACAAGCGTTGCTTCAGATCGGTTTCCTGTGAGGCCGTGGTATCACTCCGGTCGAGTCGGCCCACTCGTGCCGAAGCATGGCTCTCCCACACTTGTGTACCCGTTTCTGAATTAAAAACCGTTATGTATTTTTAACGATGAGTTTACTGAATATTATTTCTCTATTTTTCAGGATATTCAAGAGACCTGTAAGAAATCGTGTGAAATGAAGCGTGCGAATCATGTAAGAATTACTTATTGTAAGTAAATTGTAATTTATTTTATTTTGTTTTAGTAAAATAATAACTTTATTAATGTTAATCTTATTTAATTATATGTATATGACTAATACTGAAACGTTATTCAATTTTAAGTCGTGCTTAAATATCATGCTGTCTCTGTCATTTTACAAAGAACTTGTAGAGACACAACTATGTTTTTATAATAACTATCGTGAGACATACTAAATTAAGTAAAAACGCGGGTTACTCACGCGAATATACTGAGAAAAGCTCTATTAGTTTCGAACCACAGAGGGGTTCTTCCTCATGAGCAGCGTGCGCGGTCCCAGCGACGTCGCCGCGTATATTCACGTGAGTAACCCGCGTTTTTACTTAAGACAGAACTATGCTTAAGCACAACTTAAAATTGAGTAACGTTTCAGTATTAATCATAAGGGCTTTTTCAATGCTCAGTTAAATTTTAACTGAGAAATAACTTTGAATATTTGACAATTCTTCCATACTAAGAACTGTCAAACGTAAATTTTATTCTACAGTTTAGAATTGGGAAGTTTCCTGGGTCAAAAATAAATTATTTAGATTTTAACAAGTGCGACTGCCGGGCAAGGGGTCTCGGGTTCGATTCCCGGGTCGGGCAAAGTATTACGGGGTTTTTAAAAATCTCAGTAGTAGCACGGAGTCTGGAAAAATGTGCCCGGTATATGGCAATAGGCTCACCCCCTATTACATGGGACTTATAACATAAATAGTGAAAAGTGGGTGTTACATTGTACAGTGGCATTAAGTGCCGAAATGTGCACTTCTGCCTACGCCTTCGGGGATAAAAAGGCGTGATGTTATGTTATATTTAGATTTTTCAGTTCAATTAAATATTGAAAAATAGTTACACTTTCATTCATTGATTTGCCGATATACAATGACATAATTTTCGATTTATTCTCGCATTTTCTTTAGATATATGTGTGCTGTTTGACGCGAAAATATGATGACGTTATAAGCTAGTATTTCGTACAAAATTCATAGAACAGTATCGTTTATGGCGTTTCGATAAAAATATTGAATTTGACTTGTTGTCAACTACCGTATTAACTGATGATTGAACAATCGGCCCTTACATACGTAACTGTTTGTCTAGTTGATTTGACTAGGTTCATCATCAGAAAACCGATGTGAAACAACGCTTGCGTTGTGTTTCGTCGTGTGAGTGAGGTTACCGGAGGCCCAATTACCCTCCCCTTCCCCAATCTCCCCAATTCCTGAATCCCCAACGATCCTCAAACTCCTAATCCCCAAAAGGGTAACGCACTTGTAACGCCTCTGGTATTCCAGGTGTCCATGGGCGACGCCGATTGCTTACCATCAGGTGATCCGTCAGCTCGTTTACCGGCTTATGCCATACAAAATTATTACATTATATATGCGTAAGTTTGTGTCTGTCTGTCTGTATGTTTGTTACTCTTTCATGTCAGAATGGCTGAATGGATCGGGGTAAAATTTGGAACAGGCGTAGATTGTAACATAACATAATATAACATCACGCCTTTTATCCCCGAACGGGTAGGCAGAGGTGTACATGATGCCACTGTACAATGTAACACCCACTTTTCACTATTTATGTAATGAGTCCCATGTAATAGGGGGTGAGCTTATTGCCATATTCCGAGTACAATTCGAGACTCCGTGCTATTACTGAGAAGTTTTTAAAAACCCAGTAATACTTTGCCCGACCCGGGAATCGAACCCGAGGTACCTTGCCCGGCAGTCGCACTTGCGATCACTCGGCCAACGAGGCAGTCTAGTTCTCCTGTAGGTAGTAATACAGTAATCAACGCGGCAAGCTTCACTCAGCTAACTGACACTATGTAGTTGAGATACCTTAATAAACAGAACATGAATAACGGCCGATTTTTCAATCATCAGTTAATTTTTAACAACTTAACTGTCCCTATACAATATAATTTCGACTGCACGGTTGGTGCGGTGGCTAGGCAACCGGCTGCCGTGCAACGTGTCGCGGGTTCGATTCCCGCACGGAACAACACTTTGTGTGATCGACAAATTGTTGTTTCGGGTCTGGGTGTCATGTGTATGTGAACTTGTATGTTTGTAAACGCACCCACGACACAGGAGACAATCCTAGTGTGGGGCAACGTTTAAAAAAAAAAAAAATTACAATTACTCCACGTCCATAGGTTTTTTAAAGGTCAGGTTTTTTACTACACGTCCTCGTAGTTTTTATTAGAATTTGTTGCCACGCTCATCCTTACTTCCTTACTTATATTATAAATCGGAAAGTGACTTTGTTTGTTTGTTTGTTTGTTCCACTTTCACGCCGTAACTACTAAACCGATTGCTTTGAATTTTTGCAGACGTGAAGTTAGAAGTCTGGATTAAATAATAAGGTACTTTTTATCCCGGAAAAATTTGATATTCTCGAGGGAAAACGAAATTATTGGTATAGATGGCGCTGAGTGTATTGGTATATGTCACATAGGCTACTTTTTATACTTTTGTGCGAGAGCGAAGCCGCGGGTAAAAGCTAGTATCAAAAATTCACTCCAAACTTGTACCAAAAATGAGTCACAGGTGACTCATGAACTTATTCTAAAAGTTCATCGTGAGTCGTATGTGACTCCTTAGACAGTTAAGTTGTTAACTGTATACTCGGAATTTTAATTCGATTCCAAATTTGACAATTTCAGTGTTGCAACGTTATGACAAGTACTAAATAGTGACGTTGCGAAATTATTCGATATGGAAATGCAATATTTCTGGATCGATTCTTCTCGTTTATAATTTTACTCTTGTAAACTAGGTATATCAGGAAATTAAATATTTCTGAACCGATAATTTAGTTTTGACGATTAATTAACGATCTGAGACTTTTCTTTTATAATTGTGTGTGAAATAAATAAAAAAATGTAATCATGAAGGAACATGACAAATAAAACAGATAGATGCATGGTAATAAGCTATTTTATAAATTGTCGCCGTCATCGCTATCGCTATCCTGTCACTTTCTGTAACATTTATTATAAAACACACACGCCGATTGTTTATCGATTTTTGTGTACATCACTACACTATTATATGTGGTATCATTATTTCACAAAATGACAGTAGCTGTTGTCAAATCTGGAATCTAATTAAAATTCTGACTATAGAATGAAATTGACAGTTGACAGTTTTTAGTACGGAAGAGTTGTCTAATAATCAAAGTGATTCCTCAGTTAAAGTTAAAATTTATCTGACATTGGAGTAATCGGCCTTTTTCGTTCAACATTGTTTTTGTAAAAATAAAAAAGAAAAACTTTCTTTATAAATTTTATAGTTTAGTTTAAGCATTAGTTCGAAGTTTGTGTAATTCTTGTAATATTTATTAAATTATATTTATTTATTTATTTATTATTAATGAGTATAAAGACTTGTAGCTTTTTCATTTTGACGTAATCGAGTAAATATCGAGAAATCGGTAGTTTTTTTTATAATTAACTAAAAATCGCGGCCTACAGAGTAGGCTGCGCGACATCCCGGCGACCGCGCACGCTGCTCATGAGGAAGAACCCCTCTGTGGTTCGAAACTAGTAGAGCTTTTCTCAGTATATTCACGTGAATAACCCGCGATTTTTAGTTAATTTAGTATGTCTCACAATAGTTATTATAGTAACATCATTTTTATATTTTATCGGCATAACTTTGCCATATCATCTTTCATATTATGTTAAAATCTTCGATCAACAATAGCAACTAGATAAAGGGTTACGTACAAAATTAAGCTCCAATTCTGTCCGTGTGAATAATAATAGTAAAAAATAACAAACAGAGAAAAATGTTTTAAAATGGTTTTAAGTTCAACCTAATAACAACCATGGCACCTAATAATAAAGTCATAAATCGTCAAAATATTATCGAATACTTACGACCATTCGTCACATAAGACGAGAAAAGCATTTTCTTACTCCTGTCATATAGAAATTAAAAGACATAAGTGATACAATATCTAGTTTGAATTCAACCTTAAGCTAGACCAAATAAAGATAATTTTTCCGTTATTGCCTTGTGATCTATGTCGTTTTGTTTTGTTTCGTTTTGCTTTTTCGAATTTCGAATTTCGCTACAGGAGGTATGTATAGAGTCGCGTTGAACACTAAAATAATTTTATAATATGAAAATTAAGATTTCGGGATCTTAGTATACATCACTTATTTTTATTAGCTTTACGTTTTTGTGTATGTTTATTTATTTTAAGTCCAAGTCAAAATCATTTATTTCAGTTAGACCAGGAAGGCATTTTGAACGTCAACAATATAAATTTAAAAGTGAAGCTATTTGCTCATTCCAAGGTGCAGATACCTACGGAAAAGAACGAGCAAGATACTCCATAGATTAGGTACTCTTTTCCAATCAGGTTACAATACAAATTTATTTTACAATACAAATCGACTCCATGCATCCTGTGTTCTGTTTAAACAAATGTTTGTGCGCGTGTTGGTGAGGCTTGGCCAAGGGAACGCCAACACACGCACAAACATTGGTAGCGTTGGTTTATAATTGGTAATTTTGTCTAATTTTATAATATTTTCTAGTTTAAAAGCTTAAAATAAAACTTATACTTTATGTACTTATCGAAAGTAAGACACTCCGGCCGTTATACTGCTTCTTCTTTCGGTTATTATTTTTGCAACTTGCAATTACGCACTGCAGCATCGTGAGACGTGATTACGTTGGCCGTGCTTGGAGCGTACTAAACAAAATAAGAGCTCAGTTCTCAAGTGAGCTCTTATTTGTCGAGACGATTTTCTTGCGCCGACCCGATATCTAGTTGTTATTGTTGATCGAAGGTTAAAATCGATGATGTTTTATTAATATAACTGGTTTATGGGTATTACAATGCATATATGTGCACCTCTGTCTACTCCTTTGGGGATTAAAAGACGTGATATTATGTTATAACTAAAGACTTTTCTAATATGTCCGCCTATTTATTT